TGTTTAAGTAAGGCTTGATATAGGTGAGAGCGCTCGCCTCTCTTTCCCCCCACCCTCCTCACTGCGATCTGGGTTCAACTCCCGAACGGGACTTCCCCTGCGGGTTCAGTTTGTTTTTTATTCTCTTCCTTGCTCCGAGAGTTTTTATCTGGTTTTTCTGTTTTTCCTCCCTCCACACAAGCCAACTCCCCAACTTCCAATTCGACCTGGATACAGCGGACTAAGAGCCACTTTATCCACTACTAAAATGTTATCATCTTCGTCGTTGAAGTCATTGTTTTCATCACCATCATTAGCACAAATCATCTTCATTATTATTATCAATTTTTTAATTTTTTCCCAGGATTTTGAAAGATTGATGATAACCACGTGGGGTCACGATCCAGGAATTGTGTCCGTGTCCAATGTTTTATTAGCGCTAAACGATGCTCTGTCTCACTCGGCTGTTTTGGTACAGGTAAGCTTACATCATTACAGACTGTTGTCTGAGGAGAATCAGCGGGGATTTATCCATTAAACGAAAAGAACAGATTAAAATAAACCAAGAGAATATTATAATCTCTCGAGTAAACCTCATCTGAGTGAAGCAAATAATCCGGAGTAACTTTGGTTTTCCTTGACCTGGTTCTGATTGGCCCAGAAACAGGCCTGTTACTGTTTCCTAGTCACTCGTATTTTCTCGCGGTCGAAGGCTGCTGGTGACTAGCACGGGCAAATCAACAGTTTGCAACGAGCTTGAAAACGCGAAAAGAACGCGTGTGTGTATCCCCTGGGTCGCGCACTTGATTTGTTCAGAAAATCGTCATTTTTATATGCCTCTGATATTTGGAGTGGTTTAAACGAATTGTGCGAATCTATACAACGACAACTTGTTTCCTTGAAGCCTCGTAGTCCTTGATATGTTTAGATAGAAAGGAGGCGCATAGAGAAAGACTGACACAATCCAAAGAATTGAACATGTATTTTTATAACAGGCTCATGGACTTCATACAGAGGGTGATGTCGTCTATGTGCCTTTTCCACTCGATTGTAAATACGGTAAGTGACTAAACCCCGGCTTTGACCCCTGAGAGTGACCAGCATCTAATTTCTCCTCGAAGTATCACCCTTGAATCAGACATTTAACGTCCTAAGAATACAGGAAATGATCACCAAGAAAAAAGCTCTTGATTGTTGAACAAATTCTCTTTGTCAGTACCTAAGGAAATGTGTAGAGTACAGTATGGAGAACATGCATACTGATGTTAGAATGTAAAGGGTTAAAAGAAAAATGTCAGATAGGAGAGAGAATCTGTAATCTTAACCATATGATGTCTTTGATGTTTGATTATCAACCGGAATTGTTCAGCGCGTAATCGTCGATAACTCCTTGCAGGTGAACCGTTCTCTGAAGACAACATGGAGGCGCACCCTGTTGTTCAACAGCTTTCGAAATGTCTCGATTTGGAACACACGTGTGGCTTTATATCCATGCTAAAACCATCCGTCACTAAACAAGCCGCGAGCGCACGCCGGAGAACCATCTCGGCAAACTTCGGGATGCCGTCGGCGGTCGAGAGCGATCCTAGTTCGCTGTCGCCGCTGATCGTCATCAACGACGCAGACAGCAGCGTTGACTCGGCGAGCGACGAGCAGAACGAGGAGGACGGAGTTGATGGAGTGACTTGTGGGTCAGATAATGATATGGTGATGGTTGGTAAAGAAAAGAAGAAAGAGAGTGAAGGCGACAGAGGTGCTGAGAAATGGCTGCCGTTAGACTTGTGTTATGGTCTTCCTTTGTTTGATGGTGACTTGAGCAATCAAGTCTATCAGAAGGTATGATCTACCAATCTTTGAAGTAAGCTCTTTTAGCCAGGAGGGGAAGTCAGGGTGTTTTTATCGGGAGTAATTTTGAAGAGTGCAAAGACTTAAGGAAAGTTTGATATGCCTGTTACGTTTGCGAACTTGTTGTGGTACGAAACCTCTGCAAACCAAATTAATTACAAACCTAAATAGAATGCACACAACAGTCCTGCAATTGGAGTTGTCTCAAATATTTTTGATGGAATAATACCAAGTTTTCTATGGTCAGTTCACTAATTTTTTGGCATGTTTGGAGAATAAGTCGCTTTGGTGGTAACAGCAATGTTACAAGAAAGTATCATGCGAAGGTCTGCTTTAAAACAAATTGCTTAGTTCAATGAAAAACCGAATTCGTTCTCAATTTATTTTTGCAGATATCCTCGAAGGGATTGTGCCACGAGGAAAGGTAGGTTGCCATGAAATTTGTCGACACTCTTCATGTTTTTCTTTTTTCGAAAAAGGAATTCCTCTTCGCTGATCTATCCATTTATCCTTGCAGTTTAAAGTCACTTGTACACTCGAGCCGAAAACTTACTCTGCGACTCCTGGATTTTATATCTAAACACCAGGTAAGATTGCCAATTATGGTCTCGTTCACACTACGGAACAGCTGAGAACTAGCAACATGCATGTGATAAAAGTACAAATTTTAAAGCCCGCGTCCGCTTAACACAGATTGTTAGCTTATTATGGGATTCACTCAGTACAGGTTTAACCTTTCTGGAACAATTTCAATTGAGTGTCGAAAGAAATTCGGGTTTGTGTCGGTTTTGTTTTACTACGATCTGTGATTGGCCTAGAGAACCCGCGCCACACTCTCGACCAAACAGATGCGAAAGTGAACTTAGTTGCGAATGTGTCGCCCGCGTTTACCCGCGCCTCAGGCCATTTGCTTATTTTTAATGTGAGTTTTCTTTGGCCTCTACAAAATTTCGTTTTGTTCCGAGTGGTTCCTATGAAGTTCGTGCTACGGTCTGTGATTGGTCACGAAAACCTTCGCCACAATGTCGACCAATCAGATGCAAAATAAAACTATCGCAAATTTGTCGCACGCGTTTTCCCGCGCTTTACTGAGTCCATTTGACTTGTTGTATATTTAGCTTTAGTTGGCTACTGTGACATTTCGTTTTCTGATTGGTAGTTGTCATTTTGTTTGTTTTGGTCTTTTGACTCTCAGTTTAAAAGCTTTCCATTTGTTTACTAAACATTCGCTTGTTCCTTCAAAGGACGCCACTGTGTTTCAAGAAGCAACCAGCGACCCTATCTCCTTTCCCTCACAAGGACTCAGTTCGCCCGCTTCAGTTATTCCCTACCCAACTCATAATCTCTGCTTTTACAACGGCAAACTCGATGTCTGGGATGGCAGGTGACAAACGCAGATGCCATAACTTAGACATAGTTATAATAATCTTCATTCTATTAAGTTTTGTACGATATGTGAAAAGAATATGAGATGAAAAATTTATGCCCAAGTTATATCATTAGGTTACATCAGTGATTAATACAAAGCATTTTAGCTGTTAAATTGATATTTGGCTGCCATTTAGCAATATCGCAATCTGACTAGTTTTGTGACGCAATGATTCTCTGAAGCTCTTGAAACTCGACTGCAAGTTTTTAATGAAATCCTGAGAAAATATAAACTATTGGAGGCTTAATTTTATTCTTTATAACATCAAATTTTATCATAGATTGTTATACCTTTTCCTAATTTAAAAATGTGGAAAAATTCAATAACTTGTTTTGAGATCAGCACCATCTTCGCTAAAATTTCGTTGTAGAAGAACGATTTATTGAGAGTGATCTTGTGATTGGTCTGTAAAGTTCACGCCACCGTCTTAACCAATCAGAGACAAAGAAGAAAGCAATCGCGATTTGGTCATTCGCGTTTACCCGCGGTTTAGACTGTCAACGTGCGTTCAATTTGAGATCCCAAGGTACCTTGCGTTGTTACAGTTGACTGTCACAGTCAACTGTTGTGACAGTTGGTTTGGATGAATTTGGGTTTCGTTTTTACGTTACTTAATGTAAAAGCGGTCCATTTGCTGATAGTCGGCTTTCGTAGCGTGTGTTAGGAAGCGCCAATAGATCAACAACTAGGTAAGCTTTCAGTTTTCTTTAGTTCTTAACTGAGGTTTCTGATAGAGGTGACAATTATAGTGTTAGAGAGAATCTTCCAGCTTCTTGAAATATTGATAGAGACAAGACAATGAGATTCAAGTGTAACAAATGGTTTTTGCGACTATTCGTATCAGGGCTAGTATAACACGGACTTAATGGTGACTCGTAATAAATGAGAATCTAATCCCTGTCTTAAATATCTCTGCCAAAAAAAGCATAGTAAACTATTGAAAAACCCTGTTCTTTTTGTACCTTATTATATAAATGCGATTTGTAAAGACAGCGTTCAATTTACCCTCGTTGTTCTTTACTTAGGGACTGGTGTTAAACAGGGAGATAATTGTTTATTTGTGTTACATACATAAACCACAAACCGGGGAATCTTTTTTTGAGACAAATTGAAAATTCAAGATTATATTAACTTTTGCTTATTGCAAATGAAATATTCATGTAAATATCTTAGTAATTTATTTTTACTCTTAAAAATACTGATACGATTTTGAAGGTTGTATTCGATTGACCAAATAAATTTAACTGTTGGATTTAATGTGTTTTAGCAGTGATTATTTAACAATTATTCCGTGAGCGCGCGTCGGATATGAGATAGTAAATAGCCAACAGGAGGCGTAGCGCCAAGTTGGCTATGAACAATCTCGTATCCAACAAGCGCGAATGGAATAATTGTTTTATTAAATTTCATTGAATCCTGAACGTTTGAATAACTAGAGCCTTTTTCATCTTCGCAACAGTTGGCGCAATGCATTTCCATATAAGGTGACTTGGAACAGGAGCCGTAATCGGAGTTGAGTTAACCAATCAGAACACTAGCAATGTGCTATTCAGGGTTGAAAATTTATTAATTCCCGTTATTGAGTTCGTTTAGCTTTTGTTTTCGTGTAACCATGGTAAACGTAACGTTTATGATTAGTGTAAGTTATGTTAATGAATAGTTTCTTTGCCCTGTTTTTTTGTAAAACTATTTAATAAGTTCGGCAAGAAGTAAAGTTTCCAGATAAAAATTTTATTAGAGTGCCAGCAAATAGTATTACAGTTACGTCTAAGAAAATAACTCGACGATAGCAATTTATTTTGAGCGTTCTTTGGCTGAGATTTCAAAAAATTTATTGTAAAAAATACTTCCGAGGCTCCAGGCTTTCTTGGTCTCATCTCGAAAAGATGGTTTAAATCTCGTAAATTCTTTTAAAAAATAGCAGTAATAAAAATATAAGGCGTAAAGACATCGTACACTACATTTATTAATGTATTGGTCAAGTTTCTCTGAAGATGGATTGTTGATAATGGCAGTAATCTCTTCTTAAAGTTGCTTCGTCCAGTACCCCGTTTAGATGCTGTTCTATCCAACGACTGGGGTCGTTCATCTGCCACAGGGGAACAAAAATGTACAAAGAACGGTTTGTAACGTCTTTCAAAGATTATCATTAGCAATCTGAGATTGCATTTACTTCCTCTTATTATTGGTTTAATTAACTATTAACCGAAAACTGGTTATGAATTAACCAATAGTTTTTTTTTTAGCTTAGGGATAAGTCGTTATTTATCGCCTGGGGAGACGGAAAAAATAGGTTGTGCCAAAACAACACGTACCTGATTCCCCCCCCCCCCGCAGGCTCTGTAATATTCTAATAATCCCCTTCATTGGCAGTCAATCTTCTACAGTCCCCCATTTATATTCTGTTAGCGGCGACTGATCTTCCCTCGGTTCCCCCTGAAAATCATATGATCCCCCAAATCCTCCTAACCCCCCCCCCCCGGCTCTGTAATACTCTAAAAATCCCCTTCATTGGCAGTCAATTTTCTACAGTTCCCCCCTTTATATTCTGTTAGCGGCGATTGATCCTCCCTCGGTTCCCCCTGAAAACCATGTGATCCCCAAATCCTCCTAACCCCCCCCCCCCCGGCTCTGTAATACTCTAAAAATCCCCTTCATTGGCAGTTAATTTTCTAAAGTCCCCCCTTTATATTCTGTTAGCGGCGATTTATCCTCCCTCGGTTCCCCCTGAAAACCATGTGATCCCCCAAATCCTCCAAACCTCCCCCCCCCTTCCCCAACTCAGGAGATAAATGACTGGCCCCCTAGCAAAGTCCTTGGTTGTACATTGGTTCTACCACTTACCTTAAATTTGTGTTGTTCTGTCCCCTTATCGGCACTACTGTCAGAGCTGTTGATGTACTCTGTAAACACACTGTTGCTCCACTCGTTAAAGAACCTCACAGCGTTGGTTGCTTTAGACTCATTTGGACCTCTAAAACTGACAGTTCTCTTGTCTGCTTGAGAATCCCTGGTTGCCTGCTGTAAGATAGGAACTGGTTTTGTGATCACCTGGGGTACGTCGGAGCTTTGTCGGTCTGATGATCGAGTGGGCACAGAATGGGCGCGGCCTTGCCTGGTTACGTTGTTAGTTCGAGTACCAGACTGACCTCTAACACTGTGAGGTTGCGCAGTACTGCGCGTGTAAACGTTTTGTAAATATTCTGTTATAATCTGTCTCCGTTCTTGATCCTTGATTTCTTGCAGAAACCTGGTTCGCTCTCTCTCCTGGTATTCGAGCAGTTCCTTCTCTTTTTGTCTTTTAATGGATTCCTCTTGTTGCGGTCTTAATTTACTCTCTACTTCTCGACTGTCCTGATTGGTAGCACTGTGGTCATCTGTACCGACTCTCACCTCATCCATATTGATGTTGTCAGGTTTGTTGTCATGAAAATATGGTTCCCTTGAGAGGTCTGGTCCAGCTTGCCGTTCGTAGCTCGACACATTTTTCTTTTCACGAAGATTTTCCTCACGATTATTAACGCATGCAGTTATTTCCCCTTGTTCCCGGAGTGAGGAAATTCCTTTGAAGTAGTTTTGCATGCCGAGCTGGAAGTTCGTTTTCGTTTGAGTCTCGTTTTTTTGGTCATGAGTTACGATGCTTTCATCTCTGTGGTGTGGCACTTGATTCTCAGGCTGTTTACTTGAGTCTGGGTTGCTATTGCTGTCCTCTGTGCCAAGTCTCCTGCCATATTTGGTGTGAAACTTGGACTCAAGTTGAAGAATTTCCCGCGCCTGCATTATGGACAGGCGGGGATGTTGCGGTGTTTTCTTGTTCTTCATGTAGGACTGGCACAAAGCAGAAATACTGGAAATGAATAGAAAGAACGGTGTTTAAACCTTTTGACCCTTAGGTGTGACTAGCAAATTTTTCCTCACAATATCACCCCTGAATTTAACGTCAAAGGTCAGAATAAAATAACTGAAGTGAAATGAAGTGATCACTAACTAAAGAAACTCTTGATTGTTAAATAAATTCTCCTTGTTAGCACCTCAAGACGGGTGTAGAAAACAATATCGAGAATATGCATACCGATGCTAGGGTGTGAAGGCTTAAATCATGGCAACGCTTATGAACATACTACAAGAAAACCTGTGAAGGAAATTTATCCATCGAAGCAATACCTGTCATTTTCTAATCTGGCCTGGTAATGCTCTAAAAAATCAGTTTTAACTTAACCCTTTAAATCCCATGAGTGACCAAGACAGAATTTCTCTTTACAATGTCAATACAATATCAACCAGATAAGTGATGATAGTAAAGAAAAATACCAATTTGGGAATAATTAGTTGATGCAACACTAAATTCTCTGAACTAACATAAGAATTGTACGGTTGGCGGTAAGGAGAATCACAAATTTGATCCGGGAATTAAAGGGGGATGTCTATAGTTATTTTCAAAAAAAGGTTATGATTAGAAATCGCTGCAAATCTTAAAATCTTAAAAAGTCGTCGCAAATCAGTCTAAAATTTCTTTTAGCTTGTCGTGCTAAACAGTGAGTGCAAGATTATATTATCTGATACGCTGTGGTACCTAAAGCAGAAGCTTGTTTTCTTTTGCGCAAATTATCGGTCCAGTTTTGAAAGCGTTTACCTGTCACATCTTCCTTCCCTTTCTTCCTCATTGGGTGGAATCCGCGATGCGCCTTGTTGTGGAGCACCACGTGATTTTGGAGGCTGAGGAACGTGCTTGTAATAATCAGCAAGATCTACAAACTGACTTGTTCTTAGAGATGATACTGTTCTGTTAGAACATTGTGCTAGTGATGAAGGGGAAATCTTACTCCCACTTTTGGGGGACCGGATTGAATTCCTTGCGGATGAAAACTTTTGGTTCAATTGCAACATTTGCGAAGCGTTTTCACCCCTGGCTGCAGTCGACTTTGTGCTCTGTGTATCTCCATAGGTAACCTTGAGACCGCATTCCGTTCGTATTGTAATTTTCATGTCAGCTTTGTGCTCGAGATTCACGTCGGCATTTTCGTTTTGAATGTCTCCGGCATCCATCTTTGATTGTACGCAGTTTCTCTCTGATGCACTTACACCAGGTTTTACACTCTCTTCCGAAAGACTTTCACTATTTGCAAACTTTTCCGAAGTCGGAGTTTGAATGTTTGTTTCTTGTTGCGGGGATTGGGAAACCAATAGCTTGGTCTCTAGTTTTATCCGGGGGGACATAACCATCTGTGTTCCTTTCATCTCACTGTCAATTGTAATCCGCGGAACACATGATTTACATCTCGTTTTGCGGGTTCTTTGCAAAGCACGTGTACTCTTATTTCTTTGCCTACAGAAAGACGGTGTCTCTCTCGGTGCATGTTGCCCTTCGAGGGCTGTGTTGGGTCGTGTTTTCTTGTGGGACTGTCTTCTGGTTAGCGTCGACTGAGTGCAGCAAACTTTATGCCCCCTGATCCAGAGGTCCTAGTAAAATAACAAAATTAATATCACGTCAGTGTTTCCAATACTTCTCTTTCTCTAATAAGCAATAGGATGGTTAGTTAACTTAAATTTCTGAAACGTCCAGTTATTACCTCGAAATGTTCTTCGACAGACTTGTTTTCTCTAAAACAGAAACAGAACATAAAATTATTACCTTAGTGCATGTGAACTAGCACTACAATATGAGAAGCGAGACGCGCACGTTCAGTTAATCAAATTCTATTGACTCGTGAGACAGCTAACCCTAGCAAAGAAGCGAAGCGTTGTACTGGAAAAAACTTCAATATTGATTGGCCTTACTACCCGCTGTCTCTGCCATAATAGACAAGGATCTAAATGAGTCGCATATGACGTGACCTAAATTTAACGTTCATTCCACGAGCGCGTGTTGGATGCGAGATGGTAAATAGCCATTGTTAATTATTCGATAACATGAGCCTGTCTTTTTGGTAAGTTTTGCTAGGCTAGCAGACATATGTTAAAGCAATGGAAATTTCGATCTAACGATTTATTAAGACCAGAAGAACCGATTACTCCTTTTGTGCTTTTTATAGAAGTGCTTAAGGAATCGTATGCACATCTGGGGGACAATACGAGATGACCAAACCACACCTTTACCTCTTATTTTAAGCACTTGAAATCATATAATCTCTTAACAGGCAAAACCGTGGCTTTGTAACTCAATTAAGTTTAAACTTACTCAGGTTTGTGGACTACATGCTTTTGTGTTCGCGCTTGGTCCCAGTCGGGCTCGGTTTGTGAATTCTCACTATCAGAACCGGTCGAGCTTTTATTTTCATGACACTGGGAACCATCCTCCTTGCCATCACACGTGGTAGAATTGATGAATACCCGTATGACCGAATTCCCTTGATCACTCGTTCTCATAACACCTCCAGCACAGTTGTTTGACGAAAGTACTTTTTTCCTCTCTTCATCCAAAAGAAGATTGTAGACGCCTGACACAGCGTCATATCTCTTCTGACGAACGTGTCGGGCAATCTTAGGTTTATCAATGTTGATGAGTTGTGAAGCCCTACTCAAGGCCTAACGAAAACAAATTGATAAAGACAGAAGTTAGAGATACTTTAATCTGTTCTGTCTTTTCTTTACATAAGCGCATTGGCAATATCTGCCCTTACAGAATTGCTGTGGCGGATCCCCGTTACCGTGGTGTGAAGCGGATAAGAGCATTGCCAATCTTCGTGGATGCAGTACCAGTCTATCGCAGGTACTTTCCCATATTTCGCCAGGTTTTTCTGACAGTTCGCCAGCCATTCTCAATGGCAGGTCCAGTGGGAAGGTCCACGGGATACGAACCCGACCATAAGACGTGTGGTTTTCTTTTACCTCTTGACTGACTCCAAAATTCATGCAAGAACCGCATGTTATTACTCAATATAAAGAATTTAAAAGTTACTTGAACTAAAATATTTCTGATCTATTGCAAATAAACTTTCTGTGTTTTCTGACTCAAATTTGGACCCCCCACACACCCCCCCCCACACCCCCGTCTCCTCCCCTCCATCCTCCTTCAGTCATGGAAAAAGACACTGTGGAAGTAGGGTCTTGCTCAAAGTTACAACAAAGTGGACTTCGGCCACATGTTTACAAAGTGGGAGGGGTGTGTTAGATGTTCCTACACCCGCTCGTCTTAAGATCTGAAAGCATTGCTAGGCTGTAATTTTGATTATTACAAAGAGGTCCAAAGTTTCCTGCGAGAGACATGCTTTCACTACGATATTTCCTTGATAAAGGCCATTAATTTTTCGCGGGCAGTGACCAGCTTTAGCGGGTGTGCCATTTTTCATTTACTCTGACTCTGAACTCCACAGTGCAATTGACTCAATTTAAAAGCTGTTACATCCTCTAAATGTTAAATTCATACGGCACCTTATCTCGCAGTTGCTCGTCCATAAGTTGCTCAGTGTTTGGCGCTAATGGCATAGTCCCATGAGCAGTTATCCAGGGGTGTTCCATAACGTCCAGAAGGGGCGCACGCATCTGCGGATTAGGCTCTAAAAGTTTTCTCAGCAGATCACGGCAATCTATTAGTAGGGAAGACAGAATGTGATTAGCTTTCACAAAAATCTGATTGACGGCTTTATATCAATTATAGAACGTTTTTGTTAATACTTACGTGGTGTTAGAGGCACTAGATATTTGTTGTGTGTGCAGCTGAGCCCGCGAGACGTTTGATCCAGTAGCTCACTTCGGCCTCTGCTGCCAAAGTGAGGACTTCTGTCACATGAAAACAAGTAGCATGAACGTAAATGCTACGAAGCTTAAAAATCAAGCAAGAAGTGACTTAAACAATGCTATTCTATGTAATCCAAGATTAGTTATACTCTTCCGGCTCTAAGGTAGTACCTAGTTGGTTTCGAGCGAAGCGAGTTGCGATGGACTAACCCTATCCGTGATTAAGAGGAAAACAGAATTTTCTGAGACAATTTTTCCCACTCCGCTAATTAATGGGACCCCTGAATTCCAGGTTTCCTCGTCAGTGCCGGTAAAGCGTTACTGCAACAAATGAGTCGTCCAAAACTCTGTGTTACAGGTGGAGGGAAACATGCAGTACAGTAAGAGTAGAAAAACAGCAAAAAGAAAAACAAAACAGCTTAAAATCGAGATGAAAATAAAATTTAAAAAATATGCATTGAATAACAAAAGGGGCTAGAACGCGCGAATTTCGGCAAGAGGGATGGGCCTTGCGACGTCATGACATTGTTTCCAATCCTCCACGGACATTTGCTAACTTTTGGCGCCCATTTCTGGCCCGGGATGAGGGCAGTGGACCGCCTTTGCACTTCCGAGGCAAGATACACGGGCAAAGACCCGCGGGATTTGTAACATCACCGCCATCTTGAAAATGAAAGATCCAGACCGCGGGGACTGGGTATTACCGTTGAACGGCTTCCAAAATGGCAGCGGAGAAAAAGGTAAGCGTGTCCTACGTTTCTCTCGTATCTGTCCCCTTTTGTTGGTCATCCTAACATAGCGAAAATATTTTTTTTCAAGAAATCGTTAAAATTGTCCTTCTATGACTTACAAGGTATAAAGCTGAACCTCGCTGTGTGCAGAAAACAGATGGACTAGCTATTTTTGCTTACTGTATATATTATTGTTAAACTTTTATTAACAATTTTGAAGGAAATTACGTTACAATGTGGGAGTCCTTTCAAATTATGCTCCCCGAGGGAGGGACAGTGGTAGCTTTTTGTGGAATAATATTGGCCCTGGGTAGGTGGAATTTGCAAATGTCTTGGTGCAAATGCCCCGGGGTTCCCCGGGGTCAACCCCCGGGATGGCAGCTGATAAGTGCATTATGAAACCAGTGTGAGGCTGCTTTGAATAAACAGTCGGCAGGGTAGAGCTTTCTTGTATTTTGCCTTTCACCAATCAAGAAACGACGGGGACACCACACAGATCACGGTGCATGAAAGGAACGGAGTTTAAGACGAGCTCTCCGAGAATTCCAAGAAGTACGCTATTTTAAGACTTGTGTATGCACGTGGGTTATTGAGCTCTTCCCTGAATGGCTCGTTTAACTGCACGGGCTTTTAGCGCGCAAAATTTTTCTAATTAGCACTATTCATTAGATGCACACTTTTTCATGGTAAACTCAAAAGATGGATTTAAAACAGAAGCAAGTATTGATTACGATATGGATACTTGGGAACCCTGAATTCCTGTGATCAGTGGCCGATTGATTTTACAAAATCTATTTTATTTCGTGTTTATCGCAGAATTTGTGAAGCCATTAACAACAATCTTTCCGGTCAATATATGAAGTACCTACTTGTCTGAAATTGAGCACCGCTGGGCAAAATGATTAATTTCGTATCCTTTGCCCAAAGGAACGCATTGGATCATTGATCCAATGATCCGTCTTTAGATCACACAGATCAGTGATTTGATTAATCCTTGTCTAGAGTGGATTTGATAGATCACTGATCTGAAAATGGATTTGCTTGAAAGGAACAGCACAGATCAAAAATCCTGATCTGGATTCTCCCCAAAGAATGCACCCTTAATCGTGGCACATCACCTGGTTGTCTTGCAGGCGATCTAATCAGTCCTTAGGATTTTGATAAAGTACAAATTCTCCTAAATGAAAAAAGGAGTTGTGTGGTAGTTTTGTGTGGCCTACCAAAAGGCCGTAATTTGTGGTCTAAATGGTTTATTTATTACCATTTTGACCTTTTTTCACTTGCAAAAACAAGACGTAAATTCGAGCAATTTAAATGATAATAAATAAACACTTGGCGACGTGCTGTCTGGCCGGTCAAAACTTTATTTCCTCACAAATATTCATTACAAGTGTTGGCGATCTGACATTCAATTTTTAATTTTGTAAATAATTTTAAAAAACCCTTTCCCTGAAAATATTTTGTCCAGCACAAGTTTATGCTTTATTAAAAACACTTTTATGAGTTGCTACCGCAGACTATAATTTATTCCTCGCTGGTCATCTGTTACTCAGGCAACCCTTGCTTTACATCAAACGTCTTTAGAGTTGACCGAACATGCAAAAACTTAATAAAATCCATTGGGTTTTTCTTTGCCTTCACAAATGAAAAAAGATCCATAATCTTGAAAGAATACAAAGTGGCTGCCAATATTTGCAATGTGACTGACCAAAAAAAAGCATTTGTTTTGTTTTTCTTACGCATTCATCTCGCATCTGATTAATGGCAATTAATACTATTGAAATTATTATGTAGTTATAATTTCAATAGAAATCGTGTTTCATAAATGATTTGAACAGGCCACTAGTTAACATTAAACTTAAATGTCATTTTTTGACCAGCCTTTGCCATTGTACAGGGCATTACTGTGCGGGACTTGAGGGTACATATATAAAATGCTTATCTTGATACACACAGTGCATTACAGGGTGATATATTTGGAATACCTCTGCTTTATGAGTTACCTTTTCAATATAGCTCAAACAATCCCTCTAAGCAACTTTCATGGATAGATAATACCTTTTGGGGAAGGCAAATTGTGTTGATGAAATGTTTGGATATCATGTCTGATCATAATGTGAAATTGGCTGGACATATTCAAAATTTGGTCGGACAATGTCCGATGACCAGCTGTTATTTCCAGCTCTGGGTTATGTTAACTTTGACCTCAAGTGTTTACTTAATGAACGCACAAGTCACAAACTCACAAATCTTAGAAGAGGTAAACTCATTTTTACCTGAATGGCAGCCTTCCAACAATGATGCCATACATAACAACGCCTCTGGAAAAATTTAGATAATTTTAGATAAATGATAACAGACCAAATGGGACATCATTTGTCACAAAAAGTCAGAAGCTCTGGTGGTGTTCAAAGATTGGAAATGATGTACAAGTGGTGTCAAAATGGCTCTGCTTGATCCCAATTTCTATTTTTGTTTAAATATTTTGATGGTGTCATGAATTTACACCTCTGAAAAGCATTCTTATGTAAAACGTATTGAAGCTCTAATAACAGAGGTGTAAAGATAAATCCTTTCTTCCATCCCACTATGAAACTCAAACCTTTACAATGATGACTTTCCCCTTCCCTGAGGACTAGCTCAAGTCATCATTAATCTACAATTCCTGCCGTCAATTTGAATGCTCAGACTATTTTCTAAAAATTTTCTTGTACATCTTCTTGCAAAAAAATTCCAATTGCAAATTAAATTTAAAAACTGTCTCTCAAATATGATCATGACAATTCAGTTTCAGAGGAGGATAACTGTGTCTCACTCAGAGTGATATCTAATAAGTTATGGTCTACCACACAAACATTCTATTATTTTGGTTTTCAAATTACCCTTAGATGTGAAAAAAGATATGGGAGCAACAGAGAAATGATAACCTTTCAGACTGGAAATCATTTAGGTGACCTTTAAGGAATGTAACGTACTCAGAGGATCAGGACCAAACTTGTTTTAATCAGGGTCAAATTCACGGCAAATATCATAGCAATATAGAATCACCCTTTAGAGCACCTCACCATCATACACAATTTGCAACATTCATGATTTTTTTTATTTTATGGAGAGGCGGTGCAGTGTAGAAATGATATGACCCTTTCCCTTGATTAAGGGTCTTGTTGAGTTAAAGGTGAGGGGAAATATCACTTTGAGATAAATTATTTTTTCCCAATTTAATTGAGGACAGGTACTCTTTCTGGTATCTCCTTGTGCTGTCGTGGTGATTTAATTTCTTTTCTTTCCCCATGCCCTTCTTCTTGAATATGGAGTTTTTTTCATACTTAAGATAAAATAATTACTCTTATAAATTTTTGTACTCACAGACTCCATAAATCAACCTCTGTCCCATATTGACAGCCACGTCTGAACAATTCTGGTGCAGCATACTCAGGGGAGCCACATTGTGTTTTGAGGAGTTTGTCACCTTCACAGATGTTACTGAGGCCAAAGTCTGCAAGGAAAACAAAAGCACATTTACAGACAGAAATAGTAAAGGTCAGAGAAAAGGGTTTATTTCTTTAGCTTATTTTTATTTTGTTAAAATCAAACACATCATCAGTATTTGTTGTCTGATCCATATTTGTGTTGGTCTCGCTCATCCAATTCAGCACAAAGCCAAGAGTTTTGAGGCATAGTGTCCTGCTTTGTAGGAAACTCTTGGCAAGTTGTCCCAAAAAGTGTGAAAAATTACTTTGGATGGTTATCAAATTTTTACATAATTTAACCCTTTTAAAAATGTATATTTTTGTCAGCAGGAAATGTAGAGAGGGGAAAAATGACTTTTTCATAGTTTTTTGAATTTATTTAATTGTAAATGCTGAGATTTTAATGGTGGTTTACAATTTGCATGAGACTGGAACTTTTTATGTCTCTTAACATCATCAATAGCAGTAACTTAGCACCCATAGAGTTTTCCCTTTTTTCAGTCAAACATACAAATCTTAAATGGGTACTTAGTGTGTACAACAATCCATTCCTAATACATGCAACTATTGACAATGAAAAGACCAAGTTTCTAATCAAACTGTTTGTGATAAATATCAGGAGGAGTTGTTTAACCCTTGGTCTCTTCACGAGTGACTACCATCTGCAATCAAACCTTTATTAAGCGGTCATTTACAGGGAATGGTGGAATGACCACTTAATACAGTGCAGGTTCCAAAAAATAGGGGTAATATAAAAAACCAATTTAAAAAAAACTACCATTTTATGTGGTTATTGACCACTTATTGTACTAAACCTCACTCAAGAATAGCACTAACATTTTGGGGAGGGAAACATGGATTAAATTTACTTGAAATATCATTCTCAGCCTTATTTAAGTGGTTCTGCTTTATTTAAGTGGTTCTACTTTAAGTAGCCGTTTAACCCTTTAACTCACAGGAGTGATTTATAACTAATTTCTCTCTAAAATATCCATACATTATCTGATGGACTGGTAATGAGAATACTTAAACTTATCAAGTAGAAGCTGTTACCATGATCTAACATCAAATTCTTGTAGCTTACTTACAAGGAAATGTGTAGTAGGTAGAGGGGAGAATTAACAATCAGATCTTGGGAGTTAAAGGGTTGATAAAGGTGGAGAAAAAAACAAACAGGTCATCGGGACTCACTCAAAGGTGACTCAACCACTTAATAGAGGTGAAAATTGCTGTGATTAAGGGTGAAAAAAAACATTGGGACTTTTGCTAACCGACTGCTTATTACAGGGCGACTACTTAATATTGTGCCACCTAAAATAGGTTTAACTTTTACTCCACCTAACTTCTTCAGTCTACAATATCACCCCAGAATCACGCATTAACCCTTTTACACCATAATATCAGCATTCATATTCTCCATACTGTTCTCTGTACATTCACTAAGGTGCTGACAAGGAGAATTTGTCTGACAATCAAGAGTCTCTTTAGCTGGTGATCAGGTCCTTTATTCTCATGACATCAATGAGTGATTCAGTGGTGATATTGTAAGGAGAAATTAGATGCTAGTCACTCTTAGGGGTTAAAGGGTTAAGGTTACAATAAAGGAAATGATCACCAACGAAAGAAGCTTTTGATTGTTGAACAAATTCTCCCTATCAGTACCACAGGAAACTTAAGAGAATAGTATGGAGAATATGCCTACTGATGTTAGAATGTGAATGGGTAAAGAAAGCATTTCATCTTCATACCAACTATCTTGATGTTCTTTTTACTTTCATCCAGAAGGATATTTTCCATTTTAAGGTCCCTAGGAAAAAACAAATGCAAGAAAAGAAACTTTTTTAGTAGTTTTGTGGGCATTGTCTTAGACTGTATGTACAATCAGTTATTGTAAATGATGCTCTGGTTGGGTAACAGGCATTTGGTTTAGTTGGGTGAGGGTGTTTTTGATCAAAACCTTGACAGCATGAATTAACAGAGGCATGAGGAAAGCATATGTTTTTATTCTCTTGTGTGTCTACTTTTTTCGCCTTCACCCTGAATTCTTAAAACATAGGCTAATAATACTATCAGTTTCCAGTGCTATAATTAACCTAAAGGTTATGGGAATTTTTAGTGGCGAGAAAATAAGATAATATTCAGAAAGGGCAGTTATCATGATATAATCTTGAAATAAAATATATTATGCAGTCAAGCTTCCAGACATCAATGAAAATTTATTTCAATGCTTGATATCATCATTAGACATATAAATATTTCATAAAAGGCATTCTCCATCTTTTCCTCACAAAATTGATTAATGGATTTCTGTAGATGTTATTACTTTACTGTCACTTTTGTCTGTCTTGTCATTAATTTCATATCCACACTTTCTGATCTTGGAGGTCCCAAATTAAATTTAATGTAAACGGTTTTTCATATGGTAATGTTGACTTTGTTTTCATTTATTTTTGAAGATTTGCTAGAGAAGAAGTAAGTCAAAAAAAGAAAGAAGAAAAGGCAAAGCATTCACCTACATAGAACAGATTTTCGATTCAATCGAGAAAGGTAAATTTGTCCTAGTATCGTCAACTGTATTCTTAATTCGCTGTGTGCTTATCTTTATACCTTTTTGCCATTCTCTACAATTTCAAATTCTCACTGGATTTCAATTGTGTATGGCTTTTGTACTTTAGAAAAATGCCCCTGAACGTGTTGAATCTGTTTACAAGTTATTATTAAATTTTTTTCAATGTTACCTTCCTCAGTTGGAGTGAGGTAAAGCTGTAAAATTTTTGTGTATTTGTTTTAGGGTGGAGGATACGGCAGATGTATTGGATATGACACACCTAGGAGTCTCCTCTATGAATGAGATATTGAAAATGATTGACAGATGTGGTCCCTAAAAAACCAACTGATGATAAAACCACGGTTTGCGTGTAAATTATTGAAAATATGTTGGTACAAAACACAGGTTATTTTTGAAACTTTAGGTTTTTTTTCTTTCACCATCACTCAATGAATACGGTACTTCTTTTTATTGGCCTAATGAAGAGTTTTCCTTGCTAGTGTCGCTCTTTAGCGCATTTTTCTCGTCGATAACATTGAAAAACTTAAGCTGTTTGCGGTAAAATTAATTACATGAATAAATTCATTTTTTCTTTAGTCTCGGGTGACAATTTATCTCAGACGATATTCCATTATTTTTACTCATTTGAATATGTTGATCGACTTAGATTGGTCCTTTTTACTTTCTTCATGACAGTGTTTATTCAGATGTGGTGTTTTAGACCGAATGAATCGCGGATATTGCTTTTAAAGAAACTCAATGTCTCCAGACACTTGTTGCGCACGGAAATTAAGTGATATTTTTTTCACTTGGAAAATATGCCGTCAATAATTTATGACTCGGCTGGAGGTGAACAGGCAGATGGTCTCTTCAATCTAGAAATTAACAGACTCTTTAGTTTCATGATTCATCTTCATACAAAATAACACGAAGTAGGGAATTGTAAGTTTCTAAAAGTTGAATGTATTCTGCAATCATTAGCATATAAACCCAGCTTGCAGCTGGCTAAATAATGTTCAAAACTTACTGGAAGGTTTAAAAGCTTTCGTCTAGAATCTACGGAAGTCGTAATCTTCTGTTTTGAACACGTCGCTTATTGTGTTTTGTAGAAACTCCCCAATGTTTTTTTATTTTCATTAAAATAGGAGAGGAAAAAGCCTTCTTAGTGTTATTGTTTTACTTAACGCAAAAATCGTTTGTTGTCCCTGCAAATGTTAAATGGGGAAATTTCCGGTGCTTCGATCGTTAAATGTTTTGTCCAAAAAGGAAAGGATTAAGATTGGAATCAGTCAGATATTGCCTCTAAAAGACAGAAGAGCTAAGCTTCCTTCGACATTTATCGCCACCGAAACATCCTAGAGACGCTAATTTATTCAGTCGCTCGGAAACAGCCATGAACTATGTGATTAATTACCACAATGTTTTCAGACAGAAGTAAATAACACAACAAAAGCGTGAAGTGCGACATGACACAGAACAAATGTAGCCATTCCGCACTCTTTCCGAGTGTTAATAGCAAAGGAAACAGCCATTGAAATCGCGTCGTTTAGGAAAATTTAGTTTTTACCTCAAACTGTCCGTTTTTGAAAAAGTATTTATGCGATTGATTTTAAATTCGAGTAAAATCGTCGCGCGCTAAAAAGCGGGTCATAAGTTTTAGGACCGCTAAATTTATATATTTTTCGAATTTTAAATCCAAATTGAAATGTACGTAGCAGATGGACAAGAGATTTCTCACACTCTTTTACAGACACATATTTCTCGCTTGTCCTTGATCTCCAAGCGACTTCGACTACAAATTATCATTAAAATAAAAATGGAAAAATTTTAATAACGATAGTGATAATGAAAAAACGTGCTGTGGGCCCAAAGCGACACTTTTTTTTTTAACTCCCTTAAGTGTTTCTTTTTTTCCCGCTGAAGAACTGTTCAATCGTTCTTCGTTAGTTTTTTAATATCCTAGCAACGTTGATCGTGCTTATTATGATAAAAGCATTATTACTCATTTGTTGTTTTCAAAATTGATGTTCAGTTGGTACTAGTTCGGTTACCCATCTTACCGATGGACGATTCCATTTTCGTGCATGTGATACAGCGCCGAAATTAGTTGTCTCATAATCGGTCTGGCTTGTGATTCGCTCAATTTCGACTCGGGCTGACTTCGTAAGTAAGTCAACAACTCGCCGCCGGAAACATACTCAGTCACGATGCAGTAAATGGAGTGCTGTTTGAGAGTCTCGTACAATCGAACTATGTTCGGATGGTTGACTTTCTTCAGGAGTAGGGCTTCTCGGAGGATGTTTCTCTTAACGTAATCGTCTTTGATTTTCCGTGTATCTATGACTTTCATGGCAACCTAGGAGATTAAATTTATTACAAGCTGGGTAACTAGTGGGGAAAAAAAACAACATAATACTGAATGATAACACAACGCACGTTTAGTAATTTATCTTTTGAATAATATCCCATCTCCACACCCATAGTGCTTGACAATAACTGTAATTAAGCCACCGAACAATCACTTGTAAAGGGCTTTGAAATTGAAAAGGCAAACCGTTGGATAACAGACCTTACTTTTAGTGATGCGGTTCGTTGCTAACTCTACGTAGGCAAAGTTTCCCTTGCCAAGCCGGTTTCCGGTTAGATCATAGGTCCCAATGCGTTTTAAAACTAAATTGTTCGAATCGGAGCTCATAATAGGAGGCTCACTTCAGATAGCGTACAAAGTGGCCCATTTGTAAACAGGAAAACCCCGCGACATTGCAATTTACAATCGGCATGTGCGATCAGCGAAGATCAACCAATCGACGGGTGGAATTTTGACCGCACGCGCCAGCTATTGTTTTGTATGGTTGACGATTGTGTCGAAACACGCCTCTGATTGGTCGAAGAACAAAGAGGCACTATCTGACGCGTGCCTTGCTGTATGAACGCTCTTACGAAAGCCAACATTTGAAAAGCGGAATATCGCGTCCACAGTAAACACACGCTAATTTCGGCCCCACGAGATCTTTTTTTCTTTGCTGTAAATGACTACAAATTAGCAGTTCAATACGTTAATATCCGACAGAGGAAATACGCACGAGGAATAATTTTTTACGCTTTGAAAATAGGTAAACAGAACCTCGTGTTAGCATTGATTTATTTTTCTGTGGGCGGCTGTTTCTAAATACTTTTGCGTATGACGCTTTAATACTGACTTCGATCGTGCCTTATTTTAGCAAAGTGTCAATTTTAGCGGATCTCTCAAGTCAAATTTGCCATCTTTTTTCCAGATTCCACGCTCCACTGCGATCACATAAAGTATTTATAACACAGTTAAGTGGACACGTTTCAGCAGGGAAAAACCAGACTTTTGCTTCAGGCGATCAAATATCTGTAATGAACATCAAGCGCGCGCAACTTTCGCAGTTGGTCCTACCCTGTGGTCTCCCTTAAGGCGGATGATTTTCAACAGCTAATCGTGTACTATTCTAATTTTAATACACAGGAAAAGCTTAGTTTAAAATATGCGGTGCGAAAACAGATGCAGGCGTCATACCCCGCCCAAAATGACAACTGACGCGCTCGGGTTAAATTCGAACAACACTCGCCGAATTCTTTCTAAGCCAACGGCTGCGTTAGCTTATTGCAATACTGATGTGTTGTTTTTCTTTACGCCCTGTCTTCCAATACAAGTCGCCGAAGATATCACCCGCAGTAAGATTATAAAAAATTCAGTTTGCGCAGTGATGCGTTCAGCGCAGCTATATAAACACGGTGTTGCAACTTTTGCGGGAATCATGAATTTCTAATGTAGGTGAAGTAAAAGTGAAATGCTCACGTCTTAGTAACGATTACAGTTATTTGGCTTTGGCGATCCCTTTTTGAAACGGCTGTCTCTGATTTGCACCGTGCATGGCTCGTGCGCGCTTTGGAAGAATAAACACACACAGTTTAAATTTTCATAATAATAGTATTATAATTTTCTCCTCTTCAATTTTGATTCACTTTTAAACACGCTTCATGGCGAGGGAAAAGAGAAATTCGTAAAAATACAGCACTTCGGAGAACTTTTAAATTATTTAGGATCCTTTTTTGTACAATTATCTTAATAAAAGCTCTCTAAAACGAGAATACACCAGTCAATACAAAATGAACGAAATAAATCTTCGGTCGAAAAAAAAACTATACACAGATAACGTGTCCATAGCGGTTAGAAAAAACGAAGGGTTCAAACAACAACCCCGCGAATGTTTTTAAGCTTATAAAAATCTCTAGAAGGGGAAATTCCACAAGTCAAAAGTAGTGTCCTTCCACCAGCACAACATTTCACGGCGAAAACGACAATCAGCTACAAATGTCCGAGAGAGTTCTCTAGCCACTGACCTTGAATAAGCTCAGAAACCTCAGGTGGGGTATAAAGATCGGGAAAATCAAATTGGCCACCATTTGCCCCGTTCAGATCAAGCAAAGGGGAAACAGGCAAGCCATTGAAGTTCACATTACCAAATTCTAAGCTTGGCCACGAGTTGGGAATCTGTTGGTTGTGATTTACACTCGTAGGCACTTGCTGATCTTGTTTGAACGCTTGCTCGAAGTCGTCATACAACGAAAGCTGATCAATAGGGTCCTCTGGTGTGGTGCCGATCGCATCGGGAACATTCGGTGGTGGGGTGATCGGCGAAACGAAATCGCGTCGTTGCTTCTTGAACGGAGGCTCGCCGAGGGAACTGCCGTGTTTCTTGGAGGAACTCAAGCCAGGAAATCCGTGCGCGCCGGGAAGGGCTTCGCGCTTGGTGCCCGCCGCTTCTGCGACGTTCTTCCTTGAGTGCCCTTCCGCGGAATTCGAGTTTTTACTATCTGGTGCACCGTTGCTATTCTTCTTACTGGGTTGCTTTTTCTTACGCGGACGGTATTTGTAATCGGGATAAGCTTGCATGTGTCTTATGCGAAGACGCTCCGATTCCTCTACAAACGGTCTCTTTTCACCCTCCGAGAGCAGCTTCCAGCGTTTTCCCAGACGTTTGCTGATCTCGGCGTTATGCATGTCAGGGTGCTCCTCGGCCATTTTTCTACGCTCGATCTGGCTCCAAACCATAAACGCGTTCATGGGGCGCTTGACATGTTGAAGAGATTTCTTTGGTTCTTCCTCGGGTTCGTCCACAGTGGGCACTTGTGCTGGCGGGCTTGGCGAGTTGAGCTCGCTTCCATGGAAGACCATCATCACTTCAATTACTCGTGCGCGAAGTAAAAAAACAAAAAAGTCTCTATTATACGAACAGTGGATGGAATTCAGTGGTTCCAGCCAGTCAGGGAGTGCGGAACTCGATTCGTTGTGTCCACAGGTGTGGAGTAGTCGTAACGCGGTCAGTAGGAGTGCAAGCTCTTTTCCGCTCGACACGTTATCAGCGAGTGAAGTAGCATAAACTGATCGTGGCAATTTCTATTTTTAATTTACATCCAACTTGAATTTGCGTTGGTTTCTCTGTGACGCCGTGACACGTCACCTCACGCTAACACAAAGGAACCAATGATGGGAAGCAAAACCCGCTCAATGCTCCGCCCCGTGTTCGCCGCACGGCCTTCTAATTGGTTCGTTTCGTGGCTCCATAGTCGTTTTGCTTGTGTGTTTTTAAATGGGGTTTGCGCGCCAAGTGTCGGCGCAAGACACGATTTTGATTAAAACACAAGAATCGAGTGAAATTACCGTGATATCGGCAGTGATCTCTTGCGAGATGCCCCCTGCTTATCAATGGTTCAAATTTTGTCGTTAACGCGCTTACATGCGTGCGGTTTTCCTTTAAAACGTGGAAGTAGCGAGATCGGTTTTGTCCAGTTTGTTTCAAATTCATGCCACGTGCTTAGAACAATAGAACGGCGCATCAGTAATGACTTACAACACTAAGAGATTGTCACAACATTGGAAAATTTGCATCTCATTCTGGACTGTTTGAATTAAAAAGAGAACCTCTGGATCTATCTTTTTTTTTCTGGCATAGTTTCCAGTTTTGGCGTTACGCCCTCACGGATTTACGTCTTTTTCCTTTTTATTACCTCAATCATATAACATATCTTTCTGAAGAATTTTGACAAACAGTGGGAATGAGCGCGTCGGCGGGTAAATTAGGAAAGATCAGTTTTGGTTTACCGTGGGAAGTTAGAAATGGGGCGGGGACCACTAGTAAGGAGGTGCAATTAATCCCTGTTTCTTAGCTACCTGAATTTGGATTAAAGGTAGCAAAGAATTTGTGTATTTTTTTACTGCGGTGAATCTGCGGGCAGTTTAAACCGTGCGTGATAGATAGTTTGGTATCGGTTTTTCATCTTATTATGGAGAAGTCCCCGCGGACTGCGTCAATTAGTGCTATATTCGTCTTTCCGCCTCAAGGGCCAAAAATTAAATTATAATAATGGTAATTCGGTGGCGGGGTGGATTTGTTGATCCTACGGAAGTCTGATGAGTGACGCACACCTCTCTAAAGAGTTTGTTTTTTTCGCTTTCATTTGAGTTTTATTGTGTCAAGGCTCGGAAATTACGCGGAGCTGATGCGCGATTTGTAGAATAAACAAAGTTTGGGGAAATTTACCGTTGGTGCTACCTTCGCGAAAGCAAAACAACCTGTTGAATGTGAAACAACCTGCCTCGTAGAACTCAAAATGGTCGCTTTGGAGACGGAAGCTCCCAGCCAATGAGATGGCGAATGGCGGTATATTGGTAGACAGGTGTCACTGGCGTCCGAAGCGATAGGGCTGATTCATTAAACACACAGGTGACACTGAGAGGTCACTGCACGATCCACGTGCTTAGAGACCGCCAGCTGGCTGCCAATCATCGTTCGACTGTTCTTTCGCGAGTTGGAAAAAATATAAGCCATTTAAAAACACCTCGTTCTTGCTGGCCGGAGCGGTTGCCGCGGTTTCAGAGGACGCGGGGCAGACTTTAATCTCCCGCTCAAATTTGCCGCTCGGTTTAAAGTCGTGCCCCGTGAGACCTGGGGCTCATTAGACCGAAACGTAGCACCACAGCCCTGCCGATCTGTTAATGCAATTCCTTTTTTCTCTTTTTCAAAACCCTCGCTTTACTCATGTCGGTGTTTGTATTGTATTTGACCGGATTATGTAAGTGAAGTGGAGTGACCGCCAATGGCCGCCTGTGATTGGCTGTTGCCACCTGAGCCAGATGTTTGGTGGTAAATTTACGGCGGCAAGGTCTCATAGGAACAACTAAACGAAACACATCCTTGCGAGAGAGTGCCATCTTTGACTGTAAGACGATAAGTAACTCTTGTAAAGATGAAAACAACGAGTTCATCCTATATTGGTTTAGGTGCTGTATAAGTACACTATCTGGCGCAAACGATTCTCGTAAAAAGCTCCGGTATTTTATTTTCTATTTTATTGTTCTGACACCACAGTGTATTTAATCTATCTTTCTGATTTGTAAGATCAAACTTAGAATTTTTAACACCTTAGCTGTAAATCTTTTGGACGAAATTATTTTTACTGGAGAAACAGAATAGTATAGACTGTGAATCGAAAATGATATACAGTATAGTAGTTCATCTTCAGCTATTGTTCGTTACAGATTTGTACTTGGAGATCGTACTATAACTTCAGGCTCTCTAATACATCATAGTACGTGCGACAGAAGAAGGAAATAGTAAACATCTTTCCGCGTACGTGACAGTAGAAATTAACGAGTTTCTATTAACTGTTTTGACGATATTGTTGAACGCATAATGGTCGAGACATTTTCTAAATTTACAGACGCTACCACATTTGGCCCTATTTTTTGACCTACAACACGATGCGGACTTCTGCGGTTTTAATTTTAATGTCTTAGTCCATTAAACAAAACTATATATAACGATAACAGATCGATCCTGTTGGAAACCAATACTGATCATCGAGTTGTTTATATGCTCGCCTCGAGTTAAATTTTGTTTTTTACATATATATTTGCACAGATTAAAGCGTATAATGTCACAGAGAATCGATCAATTCCTTCCGTGTGGCGTTCATATATGTTTCTGCCAACATATTCATTCGAGATGTCTCCTTGAAATAATTCCTTGATATCAGCTGAAATTTTGGAAACGGGTACTTTGACTGGTAGCCCTACATTTTCTCAATTTTTTTTCAAGTCTAGTTCTTGTTTCATGGTGGTACATAGAAATGTCCTCTCACCTATCTGAATTGGACCTGAAATTTGCTTCCACCCGTTTATGCAAATACATCAGAATGTCTTGTTTGCGAGTAAGTCAAACTAAGCATTCGTTCTAATTTTATGCTTTCCTGTAATTTACACCTTTTCATTAAATCTCCAATGGATGAAAAACGGAACAAGTTTAGTAGTTTTGGCGCTGAGCATTTCCAAGATTAAGAGTCATTATTCTCTTCAGAGGTGAAGACCTATTTTGAATTTGAAAGTCTCAGGATGTAAGCGCCGATAACATTCAACAAATTGGAAAACTGTTTCATTATGCTAGACTCAGATGATGATAAGAATTTTGAACAGTTGTTTCTAACAATTTTACGTATTTCTTGTTTGTATTTCACAATTACTTCGCTGTGACTTGGCGCTTTACGCAATATTTAATTGCTGTGTAATATTTCGCTTAGTTGTAAGTCTCGTTCATATATAAACAGTGCCAATGACACCCCACTGTTCTTTATACGTTGAATCATCTGCCAAATTTTCTTTCGTGGCGCGATCGAAGTATTCGCTGAACTTTAATCTTACGTTTAAGTTGGTTTTTTACGTGCTTAGGGAATATTGCAACAATTAACGCACTTTAAAAAGCGGAAAAAAGGAACACAACTCCGCGCTTAAAGGATATTAAAACACACAATGAAGAACTACGGTGTTTACTGGGCAGGCTATTTAATCTTCTCAGCTTTCCGGATGAACGGAAAGGCATAAATCCCGCCGTGATCGAAATAAAAATCAACTTTGGTAAACAATTAGACATATTCCCCTTTCATTTTTGTAAATAATAATTCCCGTCAATGTCCATAAATGGCATTAACCCCACGTAGATGATGGTTCAGGCGAGATTTGTTAGCTAAAAGTAAACGCGGGTATCGCTGAATATCGAAGATTGTAGAACCAGGAGATGCTGGTTTAATCGGTGTAAAAGCAGTGTTTTTAATTTAGAATAATGTGGCTTTTAGTATTTAACTCGACAGAAGTTTTTTTCTGGCAGCATCTAGAAAAAGATGCAAACTGCGATTTATTTTACAGAAAAAAATTGATTGATTTCACCGGCTCAAATTGGGTGAAGGTGTCCTAATTGTCAAAAGTTCACTGTGATTATACCAACTTAACCAATATACTAACCGTGAAGCAGCAATTTTTTTTTTTCAAAAATCCTTTGATTTTTTTATTCGTGTTGAAAGTCTCTTTCTAGAATCAAGATCGATGTAATTTTCAGAGCGTTCATATCCTTTAAGGCACGTTTTTACGTAATCTTTTATAACACTTTTATCTTCTCTTTGTCGTTTGTAATAATTGTGTCACGAGTGTTATGTAATAAGCCTTAACGCACATGAAATTTTTTGATTGTTAATCTGCACTGCCGTTTTTCTACAGTACAATAATTTTGTCCTTTATCGTTTGCAATATTGAAGTGTTTCTTTCTTGCTGAACATTGTACTTTCACAAATAATTTTGTTGTGAGTTTTATGTTTTGAACAGCTCTGGGCGTTTGATCAGTTTTGGATAAGGCCGTGATCAAAGCTCGTTGGTAATGCACCGAACATATTACACCTGCCCGTTGCCTCCGAGCTATCAAAAATCATCTATATTCTTAGCTCTCCATGTCTTAAAATAATCTTTTTGTATTTGAATAGCGTTGCAACAGAATCCCTCCTCCTCCTCCAGATGTTTTTCAATCACTAGTTTTAAGGTGCAGATATTTTTCATGAACCTAGTGATACTAACAGAAAGGCCATCTTGAAAACTTTTCTAACGAAAAGGGCTCGGAAGATCGATAAAAGATGTTAAGCAGATTTGAAGAGTTGAGTAGAAGTAACTTTTTTTATGAACGAGGTACCTCAATGCTATTTAGAAAGTCGATATAAGAAACATTTCATCTGGTACTCAATCGGATCTTTAATTCAATTCATTTCTAAATTAATGCTCGTTTCATGATAGTGAATAGCGACTTTTTGGAGCTCAGTATGCCAGACTTCAAGTATATTCTACAGGTAGACATTCTACACAAAATAATTTATAGATCACTGGTACTAAAATAGAGGAAAATTCTAGCCTTAGGTTCTCTCGCTATGTGCTCCAACATCTCCGCGTGAAATAGTCTCGCCCTAGCAGGATACTACCGGTAGTTTTCTGTAAATTTTTTTTCAACGCTAAAATTAATATATTACCACTGCGTTTCCTGTAATCTAAGTAGGTTTTAGGCTCATCTTGATCAAGCCAGAATATAAAACAGCAGCCCCTTAATAAATGACTTTTATTGCGATTTATGTCGAAGTAATCCTTGCTGTTTATTTGCCTGTCGTCATGGCCTTGTCAAACGCTTTCTCCCTCTTCTGCTCTTTACAACCTTGATATTCCCTCTTGCCTGTTGCCGGTCTTGTGATTTTTTTTCTGCGAGTTCAACGCTCGAAGGAAAAATTTGAAAACATCGAGCTGTGAGTAGTCTAAACTGTGATTCGTTCATAAAATGTAGGAGTACGTGTGAAGTGGTCATTAAAATTTAAAGACTTTCACCCGAAGGAGATTTGATTACAGGAGGGGAAGGGGGGGGGGGGGAGGGACGCCTGCCGGAATCAGGGGGTTCCAGGATGTAAAAGTCAGCACAGAAGACGTCGGTGGAATCGATAGGTCTGTTTAGTCGTAACACTCAGTTTAAGGTTGCTGTGTGGAACTGAATTAGTGAAAGACCGAATGGTTGGGTGTTAAATGCCCGAGTGCAGCAGTGTTTATTCAATGTTGTCAAATCCGCTGTATACGTAGCCTCTAGCGAATGAAAGCATGCGAACCATTTCCGACGACTATTTACCAATCAGAAGATTGAACTAGCGTTCCAGTGCCTGCACACGGTAACGTCTGTATTTCACTCGTTGCCGTCCGAAAGACATCGTGTTACTCGACCACGATCATGGTATATTTTAGGAACGGCTATGCGAACATAGAAAAGTTCTGTCCAATATCAAAGAAAAAGCCACCCGCTAACATCTGTCTTTGAAATTGGGTAACGTGTATTGGCTGTTGTTCGGGAACAGTCTTCCAAGTCTGACTTTCAGCTGCTTATTTTTGATTGGTTTGTTCTGAACATTCCTGAGGTCCTTTTCATCGTGCCCTTCCAGTCTTCCACTCTTTCTTTTTCCATGTATTCTCCCCTCTAAGAATATTTTAGCTAACCTCTCCCTGCTTTTAACCGAAATTACCGAGGTTTTTTGACTTCTTTTGAGTTTCGACGAATTGCGTGGGAAATGTTTCTCAGCTACTGATCCTGCTACCGAGACAGTGCGTGCAGGAAGATCTGGTGACCCAGTGAACACAGGTGTCAGTACGCACAAATTGAACAAATTCCAAGTTGTGCGTGGGCGTGAATGTGAGCTTCCGGAAAAGAGCCGTAGCCGCCAGCTGGAAGAATCGGCTACTCTTGGAAATGGGGAAAATAACCACGCGGAAAATGCATGAAGTTCCGCGTGGCGTAGAAGTGTAGTTAGTGCTCACGTATCTTTGACGTTTCCGCTTGAAAAAGTGTTTTACAGCTAGATCTGTAATCTTGGATGTGAATGATTTCAAATGAGAAAAATAAATAGGTTAAAGGCAACTGAAAATCGCTGTAGATCCAAAATAGAAAGTTAAAACTCAGAGCTATTGTGATGTAATCACACTGGCAAAGAGAGTTTTCATTTGTTAAACGGGACAAGTTCGAGAAGAATTCAAGCAGCTTTAAAATAACTTGAATTAATATTTTACTCGCTAAGGTAGCGTAAGGACTTTCGAAACGTAGACAGGTACAATCTTTTACAGGTATTTTGGTTGTTGGGTTGTTTGACATTCGCGAAGATGCCTGTCAAGTTTTTAAGCGGCTTACCAAACTTGAACCCATGCATAAACGGCTTGTCAAGAGCGACACACAGTACCCTGATTGTTAGTGAATTGAGAAATTCAGTCTCTTTTGAAGGACTTGATTTAAAACTGTATAAGAGAGAAAGAGAAAAACATAAACTGCAATCGTATTACCGGTAATTTTCAATGCCCTTTCTGGTGAACGTCGTCTCAAGAATACGAACTGCACATTCGTTACCGGTTTTCCTTGCATTCATTAAATGTTGTTTATAAGGGAAGAAAAAAACGGAAGAACGACCATATGCTAGTAGAATTTATTTCTGCTTCGAGAGACAGTGCTGTTTAGAAGACGAAACGGTACCTGTGAATTATTTATGGTGAAGTGAAGGAATGTCATTTTTAGTTTAACAGAAGCCAAAGACTTTGTAAAGAGTAAACAGAGTTAAGATCAATTTCGGCCTTAGTTAAGTATGGTTCAGTTCATAGATTACGTTTTGGCAGAGAGAAAAGCATTTTTTATGCTTCATTAATATATAAAATTTGACTCATATCGTCCAGGTTATTACACCAAAAGAGCTACAATCGTAGTTTATATTGGGGAGATAGGATTACTGAGCTGCAATACTCTTGTGATCAAGAGCATTCAGATGAAAATGGAAGAGTTAACTTCTGTTTAATCGTTTACTTCACTTGGTTAAGGAAAGTTCAGAATGACTTCATGTGGGTTTCTTATTCTAACGTTTTTCTTCGTCGGTTTGAATGTTAAATTTCGTCAGAGCGAAGGTGATTACTTTGGCCATTGGTCACCTGCGCAGTAGGTGCTGAAATTTAAAGAAGTGGACACTAGTGTTTTGGAGCGACATACGTGAGTGATAACTCGTTTTGTGCACACCTCAGAAAAGTCGTGATTGATCAAAGGTCCTTTTGCGCTCCCTGCCTAAAAGGAACGCCTCGCTGCAAATATCAACGAAGCACGCACTGTCGATCAGGCTCAAAATCTGTGTGGTATTTATAATCATATCCTCGGCTTGTTATACCAACCGCTGCAATTATAATTAAATGAAACTCCCGCCGGTCTTTTTTGTCATCCACGAAAATCGTCAGCGAGGTGGAAACCATACTCCACTATCCTTCATCTTTCGGGTCGGTTTACTGTCGTCTTTTTGATGATTTACAATCTCATGGTACTCATTATTGAAACGTCCTTCAATTCGACGGAAATTTGTTATGTGGAAAAAAAAAAGAGACCCAAATTTCGTGAGGAAGGTACTTCCAAATCTCCTTTTTAGCTAACTTAGTGCTTTTAAAAGGCTCTTTCAATTGAAGGATTTTGTTTTATTTCGAAACCTCTTCATTGCAGTCTTATGGAAGACCCATAGAAGAGTTTCAGCCGTTTTCACAGTGTAATTGAGTGAGGGCTAAAAATGCATATAGAAGTTTCTACAATTTTTGTCAAAGCTTTGTCAGCACTATTTTTTTTCTAATTAAGGAGTCTTTCCACCACAGCTAACCTGCTAGGCCCTCAAGAAGACATGTGCTGTGAATACCAAATCAAATGAAGCGCTAATGGATTGTAAATAGATGACTGGTACCTGTCTGCAATTAGGAGATTTCAAAGGGTTCTTTTCTGTAAATAATTAGTAACTGGTTGCCTACTTTACTATTTTGGGGACTGCCAGCTTGTTTTCCACGGATTGTTTTCTGTTAGAAAAAAAGAAAAGATAAAAAGCGGAAGGGTTATTTTAATTTCTTGCTGTTTTAGGTGGGTCCTTTATGAATAGCAACAACTAAACTGGTGCTTGCTTCTTGCCCAGTGTCCAACCATGCGAGGGAAAAGTTGGAGACAAGTTTTAAGTTCATTTATGCTGCACGATTTGTCACAAAGTCATCACTGGGCCGTTTTTTAAAACAACCGTGATAAAACACGAAATGTAAACCTAGTTAAATGCATAAGCCCTGTTAATATGGCTAGATCTTTCCTTTTAACGTTTCGAATTATCTTGGGCTATTCAGACTTCACTTAGAATGAGAGAGAACATGACATGGAGAGGGTAAAATTACTGAAACATTTAGGAGATTTGGAATGAGAGTGATATAGAACTGGACAATCAATTTTTTAGACAGAAGAAGAAATAAGGAAAAAATGAACAGGGAATGAACTACTATTTTAGAGTATGAGATTGAAGGGGGGTGTGGGAGGAAGGTTAAGGGTGGGGGGTGGGGTTTGTCAGAAACTTAAAGCTCAAGACATGGACACTTGTTTGAAAGGGGGTTTAGTACTGTATTAACAGTAGTTTCCCAGATGGAAAGTTTGTGGAAAAATAATTGGGAATAAATTGATTGGAACGGTAGGTAAGCAAAATGATTTTTTAGGTTAGCAGATTTGATGTTCAAGGACTTTGTGGATTATGTGATGAAGAGTTTATCAAAAAAATGATCAATCAACTCTAATCGAAGATAAAATAAGCTCTTCAGGCTTGACAATGATAACTACATTTTCCATCTTCACCATCGTAAAATTTTTAATAACAATGATGTTTATGAGAATAACATAAGTTAACATTAAATTAGTTGTGGGACAAACTTTCCTTTACACAGTTATGAAGACAAGGTGTTAAAATGTTTATCCCAGTGTAAACAGTGCCTTCTTATCAGGATTCTGGAGTGGATTTACAATGAACCATAGCACTCCTCCAGTCAGTTGGTTTTCTACTTAGAAGCAGAATATCTTTTACATCATCAACGATGGTTTACTCACATAGATACAAGATAGAATGTCAGAAATCCAAGAGGAGCGTTATGACTCACACACAGTTTTTTCTTGTATGGATGCCTTCATAAGAGTGTATAAGAGCAATAAATAATTGTTCCAGCATTCTTATTTTGCAAGAATACATTGCATTGCTTGGTGACTCTTACACTTGTGGTTTGTACAAAAATTCTCATTCTTGATGTTTTTATAACTTAATGGCCTTTAGAGTTCGCTATCATCACACAGATTCTCACACTCTCCATGCTATCAGCATATTTGCAAGTGGTAAAGATAGCTTGCATGCCAAACTTGATCCTTTTTGATGATATTACTTTCTTTACACAGGGTTTTTTTTAACAATATTAATCATGCTTGGAGCTTAAATAATATTGTCATAAATATATCTTTAAGTCATTGTGTCTTCTCCCAAATCATAGACATATATAAATGTATGTAGTGGTACTTCAAAGTACTAGTTGTATGTTGGGAAAAAGATTGTGGTTAAAAAAAAAAGTCCATCCTCTCTTCTGTTTACTTGAAAAGATGACAGCAGAAGTATTCAGTTTTGTCAAAAAAACAACAGTCTTAAACTAAAAAAAAAAACTGAATTAACACATTTATCTATTGTTTGGAATTAAAATTTATAAAACTTTAACTAACAATTAAATAGAAGTTTATAAAGTAATTAATGTCAATCACAGCTAGGAGCTTGAAGCCTTCTTTTTTGATTTTTTTGTCTTCTCAAATCTAATTGTTTCCACTTCTAGCTGTGCCATTTCTGTGATTCTCCCCTGGAAAGATGGACTTGCACCCACCATGGGGTCTTGATATTTACATCCTGAGGAATGAAGTACAGAAAGTTCAAGGGGTAAGACTTGTTTGACCAAATAACCCTTGGGGTTCCCAAGAAGTGTTGTCTCTGAATAGAAGCTACAATGTATGCCTAGTAAGTCTTGCCAAGATGAAACATGTTTGAGAGAGCTACCTATACAAACAAAAATTCACAGGCTTTCAACTTGTGAAGTAAAGAAATATTTTCGTGTTTGATTAGATGTTTGACAACCTTTGTATTTTATGCAAAAAAAAAATTCCCATCTCAACAGTGCTTTGTTTGTTAAGAATTGTGTGACACTTGTCTCACAGACTGAGACTATTTACAACAATTGTTTGTTTGATCATATCTTTTGTTCAGTGGTACTGTGAAATAATGTAGACTCTGTTCTGTCAAGTTGCAGTCTTGGTAGCATTCAAGTAAAATGAGATGGGAGAACAAGCCCTTAAAATGTCCCCTTAGAAACCTTTTGTTGTTGTTTATTGGTCCACGGGATGCAGTTATAAGGAACAGTTTCAAAGTAATCTCACCTTTAAGATTTAAAGTTGCCTTTGTTTTCCACCTAGAAGACAAAAAGATAAAGAACACCACAAATGAAAACTAGAATAAGAATTTAAGTTGTTTACTATTTTCTACAGATATATTTTGGAGAGGCTGCTCCAAATAATGGCTCCATCTGTCTGAGATAAAAAAATAAAAATGTAGGGAAACATTAGCCAACAAACCAACAAATGTTAAAAATTATTCATTTAGTATTTGATAAATACTTATTCCAGTTGTGAAAATCATTGCTTGAGGGTCAGATGTATGATTCCAAAGGTAAAAAGTTTTGTAGGACTCAAATATTTAGCTTACTTTTAAAATAACATTCCAAGTGCAGTTGTAGGATCATAGATTCCAAAAATAAATTTTTTTAGGACTTACAGTAATTTGCTTCAGCTATAGTTCTTACAAAATTGATTATCTATTTTCAAATTTATACAGAATGTAGTTAGTATTTTGATGCCTACATTCTTGCATGTTCCATAGTAATTATCAATATTAGGTAATGATTTGTTTTGATGTTAAATTTTAAGTTGAGTTTTACAATGAAGCTTACTTTAGAAATGTTATGGTTAATAACGTTTTATTTTATCAATGAACATTTGTCTCAAGTTTTTGAAGGATATTGATACAATGTTAAATAAAATTATAGAAATTAAAACTAACAATCCTCCTGGTTTTGACTTCTGTAGAGGTTGAATTTCCTCTTCAGATGAAGATCTGAAAAGTTAATTACACATTTTTTACAATGTTAATCAAAGTTTGTCAACAACATGACTGATGCTAAACATTCTTTCATAGATGTGAAGCAATTAGACTCTTTAAAAGCTATGCTAAGCTATGCTTTTAAAACCTTGATGCCATTCTGACCCTTTTAAAACAGTGGAAGAGTGGATGTCTTGAAAAAACTTTTTCATATCATGGCTCAAGTGTGACTTTTATTACCACTTATTGCCTGAGGGTACAAATATTTCACCTAAGGTTTCATATTTTGTCTAGTGAATTAATTTTCTTTGTTTAAATGAGAGTTGATTCAACAACACTTTGACCCCAGGGGTGTGAAATGATTCTACCTGTAGAAAATTTTATTTTGAATGTTTAAGTTTTGGTTACGTAGCATTTAAAGAAAAATTAATACTAATGAGGTGTTAAGCACATTGCATGTTTTATACCCAATCAAGTTGTTGAGAGAATGGACAATACTACCCACTGGATTAATAATAAAATTATTTACAGTCATGGAAAGCCAAGGAAAGTTTCTATTTAAAAAAAATTAGCATATCTTTGAAGAAAATTTCATGGATTGCTCAAAGTGTGTACTTTTTAGTGGCCCCAGACCTCAAGAGGAGGTTGTCTGAGTTGCAACGAAACATCTGATGTATTTTCTGTCAGTGTTTTTGTTTGCAAACTAGACAATTTTTTCCATTCCCAAATGTTGCTCTGCTGAGGAAAATTGAAGTAATCTTCTCATTAAATCATTTGTGTTGCCACATTTTTGTTGCCTTGGTGTTTTGGTTTGTGTGAGGATGATACCCTATAACAAAGGTGCAGGTGTTGGCAATAACTAAATACAACTCATTAAAATCCTCTGCAGTGACAACTAACAAGAGCTCAATCTTTTCCTTCTTATTTGATTTTATAAGTGGATGATGATCTGTCCAACTGGAAGTTGCCTCAACAAGACTGTAATGGCACAAAAATGAGTGATCTAAAATTATTTCTACATTACTGTGCATTTCCATAACATATCAATGACCGAGATGTAATTTCATCGTAGACATTGGATTTTAAAATCCCATCAATCATGTTGTGAACCTCACCAGAATATTAAGCACAGTTTATCAGAGGATTTTGATTCAGTCCATAGTCACTTATGCACAATTGCTCATGTCACAGTTATGCTCACTAGGTTGTAAATACTATGGTCTAATTATTTAAACAAAGTTTAGGTGCTGTCCAACAAAGAAGACAAGGTTATCACCTTGAGACCTTTTTCACTCTGAGACAATTTGTAGCGTTAATTTTTCTGTACAGTAAATCTTACCTGGACATGGGTTTCACTGGAGTCTGTCTATGAGTTGTTATGGGTATTGTTCCAATAGCTATTAGATCACTTGTGCTGTGAGGCATTGTGGGAATTGATGAAGCACTACGGTTGAATGTCACTGGAAGTTTAGGTCCTGGTCGAAAGAAGCTACTTCTGTATAAATCAGTGGATCCAAGATCTTCATTGTTTATATTACATTTTCCCAGAGGTAAAACTCTTTGGTTGCCATTCTCCCCCTCACTGCTGCTGTCCGTTGGTAGGTTGCCATTCGGGCTTCTTTGTGTTACATCCATCTGTCTCTGATGGACATTGTTACTTGTCTGTGGTTCACTAGAGAAGCAACAAACAGTTTGTTATTTTAGTTTGAACAAAAATAGTGACTTTCAGAGCATAATTAGATCTCTAACAATGTTTCTCAAAACACATTGTTTGCCCAGCATGAATCACTTGTCAACATTCTGTTGTTATGAAGTGTCATTTTGGCAACCAACCATGAAATTGTTAATATTTTCAGCATCTCCGCAGGATATTACAAAATGTATACACTGCCTTAGCTCCTCCCTTCAGAGTGATCCATCCTAAGCATTAATTGAAAATACCTCCTGTTCATTGACCCCATAAAAGCTTAATCTGCCAACACCTTTTTTGCAGCTTCTTACTAATGTTGAATTTCTTTTCCACCATTCCCCAGTCTCATTTTATTTTGTCTTCATCATCACATTTACACGAACTTGAAAGAGTCCCATCCTGGCTCTTGATTCATCACAAAATACTTTTTGCCATTTTTAATAGACATTCCACTTATTATAAGATTACTGAGGTAAAGGTGCTTAATTGGGTGCCAGTACAATTATCCTTATTTAAAGCACTAATTTACTCGATGAAAGATGTATTTAGCAGACACCACTTATCAAAAGAACAGTATAAAGGATCCTGTGGGAGTATGATTCCTACAAGTTTTACTATACTCTCAGTTGCTATTTGGCGAAGCATCTATGAACTAATGGGTTTGACCTTTTTAAGAACGTACTAATAATTGGCTTTCAATTATTTTTACTTAAGTGCAAATGAGCCATAATTAAACTTTAATCAAACGGAAGAGGAAGGCATTCTGTTGTTGCCATGCAAACACCAGATTTATCTCTTTTCAAATTTGGTTTGAAAAAAAAAAAAAGAAATCTTTATAAAGACTACAGCTCAATATACTAGAATTAATTTCAATGGGGGACCTAAGATTAAACCACCTTTTTCGAACCTCGCACGGCAAGAATACAAGCACCAGGTGAAATTTAACTCCTTCAACCTTGGATGTGCATTCGTCAGAGATTTACAAATTCTGGTCCGTACTTAGCCATGAAATGTTGAGGTCAGGGTTCGTTGGGTAATGAGACAACTTCTCTGCTATGAAAAGTCGATTAATACTTCAACTTTAGAATAATTTAGCTCGATTTATCACGTTGACTCTTAGTCAAGTTAAATCGCGGTTCACGGTTCTTCGGAACAATTTTCACGTACAATTCGAAATGGTGTTTCGAAGGAAGGATCGATGACGAAAACTTGCTTTACCATCAAGAAAAAAGGATGAAATGACAAACAAAACCAAATTCAATCAACAAATGTTCTAGAAAAAATCTTTGCTTTGCGGAACTTAAAAGTATCCTTACTATGTCTAAACAAAATACTTTGGTTAAGCGATCTCGTGCAAGTTTCAGGAGTCGTAAAAAAAATCACAATCTCCTACCGTAGAAATAATTACTAACCTTGAATTATTCCTTGTTTTCTGCTGGACAGGTGCATATCCAGTATCCGCCATTCTCTTCTCTACAGTAAGTGGTTCTACGTGGACCAAAACAAACATGCCATCAGTTGTACTTCGTGACGACAAGTGTCTCTATTGTGTTCAAATTACATTTCCATGTCTGCGTTTTTGTGTCATTTGACGGTGACAGGACAGAGTTGAATGCGAATTTTGATTAGATACTTACTTAAAATGTATTTCTGTCTTGCTTCGCAGAATCGGCGGGGGCTGTGAGCTGCCATAAAGGTATCTAATGAAGTAAACGCCGTTTGAGATGGTCGCATTCTTAGCGTAACCACATTGTTCGAGGTCGAATGTTTCCACAGCGGCGAAACGCAGGTTGTACGAGGAGCAAAGTTATTCCTTTTCCCGCCTTGTGCCATGAACAAGCTTTGGAGTTAACCCCAAAGCAAGCGATCCATTGGAGGAACCACAGATAACATCGGAAGGCTGAAGGTCATTTCATCCGGCCGGACGAACCTTCATCACTTCACGAAAGCCGTATGTAAATTTCTGCGCCCGCGTCTCTTGGGATCTTGGTCTCCTAGCAACAAATGTTCTTGTGCTCAGTCCTCGCAGTCATGTGAACCGATCTCGTACTGAGAGTTTTTTTGTTTTGTTTTGTTTCGTTTTTTTTTTTTTGACGCGAGAGATATCGGAGACTGATCGAAATCTTAGGTTGCGTCTAACATAAATTTTTATTTCCGCCCAATTTGCCAATTTTAGCGTGCACTGAATTACCATCTGTAAAATTGATCTTATGATTAGAGAAGTACACAAGCACTGATTGGTCCAAAATTGCAGTGTATCTCGTCGTAATCATCCTGTGTGTGATAAAAATAATATGGAGGGACCAACTTTGAAATAATCTGCATATGAACTGTTAGTGTTTCTAAAAAGTTCGTAAAATGAAACAAAAAAAGTTGTTTTTCCATTCCTCAAATCCTTCAGTAAGTAATGGTTTTAAAATAATTAGATTTCGACTAGCCAGTTGATTAACCCAACACACAAGGAACTCTTGGACTTGGCATTCCATTTTTCCCCTTTTTTTTTCAAATTTTTTTTTCTGTATCTCATGCATCATTAATTAAAAAAAATTTTATGAAGAAGACTTACACAGTACTAAGAAAGAAAGTACAAAGGAGCTTGCTTGTGGACTAAACAAATGTATTATTCCTTTTTTTACTGTTGTATCAATGGAAATGCTTGTTTGTTCCATTGATATTTTTTTGAAATACCTCTATTCTTGACACAAATAGGAATTTATTTTATTTATGAGACTTGCAATAAGTATCTCCATTTAAATTGTCACCACTTCAAAAATACAAAAATAGCATATTATATTTCTGTAAATGTAATAATCTCTCTTACAAATTCCAGTTTAGCAACTATATTTCTATAATATAATATATATATTTCTATAATATAATTATTATAAATAATATTTATAATAATTTATAGCCATAACATTGTAGAAAAATCTTTAAAGCTGTAGTCGAACTTCTTTCAAACAGTATAAAAAGTCAATTGCTTCAATTAGTCAATAATAGTTTCTCCTTAATACACCAGCTAGACTGATTTCCATACAATCATTTTTTTAAATAAATTATTGCTTTGGTTATTGAAGCAAAATCTTAAAACCTGTAATTAAACCTTTCTCAAACTGTACAATAAATCAATTACTTTGACTTATCTTTAAGTAGTTTCTCTTTAAAAAGGTGATCATATTTATTATTTACTTTTAAAACAGTTAACTATAATTCTTATCTAGATTTCCTTCCTTCCCTCCCCTCACTGGAAATAGTACACCACAGAGTACCCTCTCAGTACAGCAACTTACCGAGTGTGAGGACAAAACTATCTATATGCAGGTCATATACTGTATGGCTAACATGGAGCTGGAAAAAATTTCAAGTGAAATTCTTCAAAATAAACCACAGAGTCACCTATGCTCTGAACGTAGTTTTCTGTACAGCAAACTACATCCAGAGAATCTAATTTAGGTTCATTTTTAACTGTCAAAACATAGCTGTCACATCCTGGAGTACTTCTAATAAGAATCATTCATGGTATTCATATCCATTCCAATTTCTGGGTGGTGCTAGATAAACTCTCAGATTTTTGTACATAAAGCTGACCACACCTCGGTATGCCATTCTCGGTACACCTGCCTTAATATCGTTCATAATTCCTAGCTGATTTGCTAATGACCTAAAGGTTTCCTCAGATTCATACTGAACTCTTACTGATGGAGCAGGCATCACATGACCTGAGTGAAAATAATCAAATGAAACTAATGGTGATTTGTACACTGTATTGATGAACATGGGATCATATACATCTTTCATGAGGTATGTCAAATTTCTCTCTGTAAAGGGGTAAAATTCATTGTTCAATTTTATATACTTAAGATGCTCATCAAAGAATTGGCCCCGACTAACTCCTATCCTTCCAAATGTCACCACCCGAGGTATCTCAGGACGAATGCAAGCACGGTCATGTCTCTGCTCTGGATGCCGCATCCAGTCATCCCAAAAAGCTGCAGGCCACTTAGGTGCCAGCTCCTCCCAGAGAGATTTTTTCAACATCCATCCTAGTCCAGGAAAAAAATCAGTTCGGTAGAGCAAATCATTACCCTTCACCCTGCCAGTTTTACCATTGTCATTCCATGCTGATACACACCACAGTGTAGGGTCTTTGTCAAGCAGTGCTTTAGTAGCCTCAAAGTATTCAAAGAAATCAGGAGCAATCTCCAAATCATCTTCAACAACAATAACCGTATCTTGATGAAGCACATCAAAAACCCGCGATAAAGCCCATCTATAGTGTCTTGATAGTTTGTAGTATCCCTTTAAACTATCTGAACCTCTTGGCACAGTGATATCAGATACGTCGGGATGTCTTACATACATGATTTTGTCTCCGTAAGAGGCTATAACTTGAGCTGTCTCCTCGTGTCCGCAGTCTTGGCTGACAACCACGGGAAACTTTCTTTCCGATGTTCGAAACCTCAGTAAACTGTCAAGGCTTCTCTCCACTTCTGGTCTGTTGCAGGCGATGACAAGTACAGTTGCAACTATTTCTTCTGTGCTCTTCACTGTAGGAAATCTCTTTATAGAGTTTGTTTTTCCGTTTTTGAAACGATCATGAGTGGTAGATCTTGTTGGGCGAGATATTGTCCATATAATTGCGATTACGAGGCAGGCAAGCAGTCCTGCAATAATCTTGCGGTTGAAAGTTACAATTCGCATATTCATAAATTGATAACTTTTAACCACGAGATTGGTTTACGAATGTAATATCAAAGCCTCCCTCTGACTGCCATTTTGTTTTCATAGTCAAGAGTACGCATGCTAAGCGAGCGAATGTGTTGAATATAAGCCCGCGATTCACGGCTCGGTCGCTAAGTCATTGTGTGGTTTTCAGCAGGCAACATGGAGTGTTTAATAGGAATTCAAGGTCCCGACTTTGTCCTAGTTGCTAGTGATTCTGGTAGTGGGAGAAGTATTATACGCATGAAAGATGGTAAGGTCATTTTTCAATTTGATGCATCCGTTAAAAGGATCGCTGCAAATGCGTTTGATTGTGAAATGTGACATGACAACCGAACGCGCCATTAGGCCAGTTCGTCAGTGATCATGACTCAGGTCTTTTGTCAAAGTTTACCGCTTTTTGTCGCTTTTAAGTTTTCTATTTTCTTGTATTTGTCTTTGAAAAAAAAAAGTCAGGTGAAACTTTTCTCAAAATGTTCTGAAATATTTTACTCTGAAAGACTTGTCATCACTTAACTATATCCAGAAGTTTTTACATTTGTTTTTCCATTCGTTTTTTTCACTCTCTTCATGAAATTTTGCCAAGTGAATAAGTATTTGAAGATGCTGGAAATACCATTCCTTGCTGGGTTAATTAATTTTGTTATGGCTGAGAATCGAGGACAATTACCTGCTCAGGAATTAAACCTGAACTTTTAAACCAGAGCAGAACACACTTACCGCTCTTCAGGGTTCTTACAAAGTGAAGGGACCCATGTACCAGAACCATTATACACTCTTGTCAATCAGGGCCTACCTTTGCTTAGGATTTGAGAAGTTCACTTCAAATAAGATTTTTTTTTCAGACCACTTTCTTAGGGTAGCTCTAATACTTGAAAATTTTATTAAATCCCAGACTATCACCCAATGTGCTACATTATCCTTCCAAATTGACTTGTATTTCCTTATAAAACAAGGAGAAATTAATTTTGCTTCAGAAGTCCCTAAGGGCTTAACTTCCCGCATGCCTTCAACTGGTCAATGAATTACTATGAATGTTGTTTGTGTAGACCAGGACAAAATGTTCAAGTTGAGTAGCAAATTGTTGATGCTGGTGACTGGGGAAGCTGGAGACACAGTGCAGTTTGCTGAGTACATGGAAAAAAATATACAGTTGTACAAGATGAGAAATGGTGGGTCTTGTTAATACGATACATGGACATTGTTGCTTAAATGGCTATTTTCACCTTCAGTAAAGGCTTAAAATTGGCTAGCAAAGGCTTAGTTACTGTATTTTTCTTTTATGAAAAGTGGGTCATTACTTTGGATTTTGAAAACCAGTGGAGGGTTGGGGACAACTAAATTTCTTTTAGGAGCTTAGGATCTAGAGGGAAGGGTAGAAGGGAAGGGGGGGGGGGTAAGAACTTTTGTCTTTGATTGTCCTCTCTCCTTTCTCTATGCACTTAAACCCTGAATTAAAAATGATCACAGTGAAGGGTCACAAGCTTGTAGCGCTAACTTGATCTCCTTAATAAGACACCTGCATTCCATGTTACAACTGTGGTAATGGGCAAAATATAGCATTGAAATTCAGCCAAAGATTGTACTTAAAATGGCATCTCATCATAGTTGTTGTAATGATGTCAACTATCATTCCAAGATCACTAAGAGAACTCTTGTGTAGAATCTTCAATGATTTTGCATTACCAGAAGTAACAGTGATAGATAAGTAAAATATTGTGGTTTCTCCATGTGGAAAAGCAGCTATGAATACATTTTTCCTTCAAATTGTTAGGATATGAACTTACTCCTCATGCAGCAGCCAACTTCACAAGGCGAAACTTGGCAGATGCTCTACGAAGTTCCGTAAGTATAAGTTAAAGGTCATGCCCCCTTTTGTTACAAAAAGTGTAATGCTTCCGAATGAAAAGTTTGACTGAAATGAAAGAAAGAGGTTTCAGTCCAAGCTTTTCTTTCAAAGCCAATTATCACCACATTTTGAACAAGCAAAGTTGAAACCAAACCTATATAGAGAAAAGAAAGCCCCTTTAGGAAGTGCATTATGAGTCAATTAGTTTCATTATTAATGATTTAATAAAGATAAAAGTTTATTTATCTGTTTACTAGTCTGCTTACCAAGTCAATTTGCTGCTAGCTGGTTATGATGACACAGAAGGTCCAGAACTTTACTACATGGACTGGCTGGCTTCACTTCAAAAGGTTTGTCAAGTCTCTTTTTATTGGAGTGTGTGATAGGTGCTGTGTTTGAATAGGAATATTTCCTCATTCTATTTGAGATATCACAATTTCCAAGAATATTGAACACATTAGATGTATGATCCAGCCAGCAATGCTGTCTCTGCCATTTCCTTTTAGTCAGGTAGACAAAGGGTAAGCTTAACTTGTTATCTCCCAAGATCTAATTGTTAATTCTCCCCTCTAGCTGCTACACATTTTTTTGTAAATTAGTTACGAGAATTTGTTAGTAGATGAAAGTAGCAACTTCTTTGCTGGATAATGTAAGGGTATTATAGGAATAAGTTACATGTTGATTACTTGGAACAATATCAGTATCTGGGCAACTGCCTACCTACCCCTCCCCTAACTCAACAACAGTCAATTGATAACAAGTTAGGGTTAATTTTGGGCTAGGGGAGTAGGTGGGCAGTTGCCCAGATACTGATACTGAACCATTACTTCTGGGAGTTAAAGGTTTCAGGAAAGTCATGAGGCAGTTGGCTAAATAATGCAGATGTTTCAACCTTAACATAAAAACTTCCTGGAATATTTCAGCAAACAAGTTGTCTTGACCCTCTTAACTGTAATAGTAAGTTTCACCCTTACAATATCACCCTTAACCCTTTAACTCCCATGGCTGACCAAGACAGAATTTCTCCTTACAATATCAATACAATATCAACCAGATAAGTGTCGAGAATAAAGAAAAATATCAGGTTGGGGAAAATTAGTTGATCTAATACTAAATTCTGGGAACTACCATTGTAAGAATTGTATGTTTGACAATAAAGAGAATTCCAAGTTTGATCCAGGAGTTAAAGGGTTAAATGAAACATGAAGGAATAAAGGAAATGATCACCAACTCAAGAAGCTTTTGACTGTTAAACAAATTCTCCTTGTCAGCAGGAAATGTTTCGAGCGCAATATGGAGAATATGCATACTGATGATAGGGTATAGAAAATAGGGAAATTATTTTGATATGTGCAGGTGCTTAACATTTTCACTTTTTTTCTCCTTTTTTATCAGATCCCATTTGCTGCACATGGTTATGGATCATTCTTCTCCCTGAGTATTTTGGATCGCTATTACAAACCAGGTACATTAATGGTTTACTTGATTGTACGGAATGAAATTACTCAATGCTCGATGACACGCACACAAAAAATTAATAAATAAACAAGGAATTGTGCACAAGGAATGAAATAAACAGAGGATGAAAAGCCACCTGCAGATAAGTCATCATGGAAATCCAAAATCCAAATATTTCCAACAATACAAGGAGTTCAGAATACGTAAATGATGGATCGCTGTCAGTATCTGAACAACTGCGCACCTACCCCTTCCCAAACCCAACGTTAACCCTAACTTGTTATCAGCTGACTGTTGTGGGGTTAGGGGAGGGGTAGGTGCGTAAATGCTCAGACACTGACATTGATCCTAAACGATTTTATAAACACGGAGTGAGTAAGCGTCTAGTTATGTGTCTTTGTCACCGCACCTTGATATTTTGTTCGTAGCTTAAGTTAGTGATAGCTATGTTTAAGAACACTTATTTTTTAGATAGTTGAAGTTTGAATGTCATTTTTTTTTCTTAACTAGGTTTAAGCCGTGAAGAGGCTACGGAGCTCCTTAAGAAATGCATTAAAGAGGTAACATAGTACGAGAAGTGATAACCTCATCAAAAGAAAGCAACGCTTCTTGAAATTATCGCGAATGTTGAAGATTTTCTTTAATTACATATTTTCTTTTTTAATTTTTACTAAGCACTTAGCTTCGTGTTGTTCAATGTAGTTTTTTTGGCGACCATACTTTTTGTACTAGTCTAATGTTCCATTTTTCTAAGAGGGCGTTTTTATCGGTCCATGTATGCTCCTTTTTTTATAAGCCAAGGACCACTACTTCGTTACGCTATGGCCATCAGGGTACTTGGTCACTTCACCGACATGTCAATTCGCCGACAAACAACTCGCCAACACCTTGGGTAACTTCGTTGACATCTTCGGGTACTTCGCCAATGTCAAGAATTAATTTTAGTCAGAGTTTTAATTAAAATGATTAATTTGAACAAACTGCAAATGCAAACCGAAGTTGTCGGCGAGGTGACGTCGGCGTGTTGGCATGTCGGCGAGTTGGTTGACGGCGAGTTGACATGTCGGCGGTGTTAACAGGTGTAGGCATTGGTTAAGTTGTCGGCGAGGTGACGTCGGCGTGTTGGCGTGTCGGAGGGTTGGTTGACGGCGAGTTGACATGTCGGCGGTATTAACAGTTGTAGGCATTGGTTAAGTTGTCGGCGAAGTGACGTCGGCGAGTTGATTAACGGCTAGTTAACATGGCGGTGTTTACAGGTGAAGGCATTGGTTAATTTATCTTTGTGTTTCTCTTCCTTAGGTACAAAGGCGTTTCTTGGTTCGTCTCCCAGATTTTTTCGTCAGAATAGTCGATAAAGATGGTGTCCATGATGTTTCTATTCCCTCTAAAAGTTGAGAAAGGAAAGATCTAAATGTTATCAAAAAATAATTTTAGATCTTGCGCGTTTGATCTCTTTTCAACGTTTATCGTAAAATGTTCGTGAGACATTTGAAGTATCTGTCGTATAAGTTATATTTTGAAAGTGCATTGTTTTCAGAGTTATAACTGTAAAAGTAGCCGTGAAAGTCTTTTGTTTTTGTACCGTCGAACAGCTGTGATAATAAAATGAAGACATTTCATCAGTGCCGTGTCTTTGAGTAAACTTGGAGTGGGAGCAAATGAAACCTTTGTGATTAGACCAGTTGGTCTAATTTCTCCTATCTAGCTGCTGAAGAATTTGTCTGTTCTCAGCACTTGCTTGCTTTCTGATAACGTTTGATTTGTAGTAATCACTCCCTAATGTACTTGGAGCACCCTACCGCAAAAAAATTACAATGAATTCATTTTGCCGACAGAAGCTGACTGATCACCGCTATCATTCTGTTTTGTCGACCTGTTGGTCTTTTCTTCGTATTAGTTTTGAGCGGAGGAATGGGGCAATGAAAAAGAGAGAATGAGAGAAAAGGAATGGAACTCGCAGAAGAAAGGAATAGGAATTGAGGCGGGAAAGAGAGAGAAGGGAACCCTAAATCCACTTTACCTCGCTCGTCTAATGCCAGCGTCACGCTCCAAAAGACGTCCTGTTTAGACGTTTAGATTTGGTGCAGAGAAATAAGGGTTGTTGGTGATAAGGGATGTTGGTCCTTGGTGGAGGAGAGAAAGCTTGCTGTTTGATGAGAACAAACAACAGCTGCGTAGAACAATACGATCCAGATGATTTTTAGGGGGTTTTTCGTAAAAATTAATGGCTGCAGGGGACTTGCATTTGACGAACGCGAACGTAAGAGATTTCTCCGATGCACTTGCTCTGCGCCGCCACTCCGAACTAAAGAAAAAAGAAAACATACAAAAAGGAGGGAAAAAAAGTGGATATGGTCACATTAAATATGAATAACCTGGGTCTTAACAACATTCCTATTCCCAGGATCTCTCCGTCTTCGTAGTCCAAGACTTTTACTTCCCATCGCTCTTTGTGGGTGTTTTCTGTTAAATGTGGCGGCCATAACTCGACCTAATCGAAGTTATAATTTTGCAAAGGTTTGTTCTTCAAGCGCCCAAATCATTTAACTCCTTTGTGTTGTATTGCTTAAGTTGGTTGACCTTGCTTACAGGCTTCAGTCGTGAAACACTGGTCACATCCCTACATCAACGATGACCTCGATCAGAAAGATTTCTTTGCACTTAAACTGGTAAGATTTGTTGGCTCATTTTACTTTGTCGTTCAGTTCAATACCCAAAGTTTACTAGGATTTCTCAGATACACCCTTAGGCTACGTTGATTTAATTAGATTGTACATGTACATGAACTTACCAAGATTATCCCACACTTGTGAGGCAGAAAAGCTTTTATCGCTATTTGCTTAAAACCCAGTTCATTCTTAAATTTTAGACACTAGTTCTGTTTTCCGGTGAAGTCAATAGTTAAAATCCTTAATAAACTATAGTTGTACGCCAAAATAACTTGTTTCTTCATCTCCCCTTACTCAATTTTTAAAAACACAAGACCTTTTGATTGACTAACACACAGATTGACTATTGATAGAGATACAGAGCTTTCAAGTTGATTTGTTGAAAAAGAGTGAGATTTTGTACTGTGTAGCCACGGATTGTGATGCTGTGGGCATCACCTTCCAAGAGGGGGGTGGGGGTGTATGGGGGGCATACTCATCTGAAAAACTGTGAAAAAATGCATGAGTTAAGATGGTTTTTTATTTATTATGAGTGTGTTTTGAGAGAGTTCATGTTACTGGGTTTGTGGTTAGCATGTGAACATGTGTACTAGCCATTAAACCCAGGGTGGGTCTGCATGAGTATTTCAAATTGTAAGAAAGTGCTCACAGCCAGTTGGACAGGAATGAGGAGTGAATTGTATTTGGAGAGATAAATCAGCAGTTTGCTGTCTCAAAATCAACAATTTAAATACTTTACATGCATGAGGCATAATAGATTCAGCCTGAGATCGTTAGATTGAATTTTTTTGGGGAGTCTTGCACTCAATGCGTGATACTTGGGAGTTCTGTAGACAGGTTGTGTGATTGACTAGCCTGCAGAGCAGGTGTAATTTTGGCGAGCGAGAGCTCAGTATTTTTGTAACAAAAATTATGGCCACCATCTTTGATTTTAATGGCAGCAGAAGGCTGAGGAGAGAAAGAAATTTGTACCAGGGTGGCGGTTGTCAGTCAAAAATAAGGAGAGGGGTAGAGGTGGGGAAGTGAAGATTATACCTGCTTGAAGTCATTGTTATTTTGCAAAACTCCCTTTGCCCACAAATGGAGTTCTTGATTTGTGCAGTCAAGCTCCAGCTGTCAATCACAAGCCATGTGTCATTTGAGGATCATTCTGACATTTTGCTCTGGCTGGAGAAAGAAAAAGATTACAAACTCTGATTGTAAAGTTATTAGTTTTGATTCTGCTCTCAAGGAAGCATAGAATTTAACATGTTTGCACATTAAAATTGGAACAAAAAGAAGCAATTTCTACACTGGTTTCTGGGAAGGATTTACCGGCCATGTTGCCAACTGGCTTTTGGAAAAGCCTGATAGAAAAAACAGCCATACTGTTTCACCAGAGTATGCCAGTTTACATCAAACAAATTGTGGCGGGTAAACCTTCAAGTGCAGTTGTTTGTTGCTTCCAAGTATCATTTATGATCAAATGGAAGAAAAATTGTCAAATAGATTAATGGCAGCTCTATTCGATGATTTTTGTTTGGAAAATATAAAGCACAGCAAATATCAGCTCATATTTGTGACCACAGAGGAGGTTTTGTGAAAGCCATTTCTTTCCTAGCTGAAAAAAAACTACATCACCATTTCACTCGTTAGCTCTACTGTCGGTTTTTAATGTCACTCATTTTGATTGGTTACCTGCTCATTTCCAGAAATGCAGTGATATGCAACTAGTTAGACAAGGTCCTTTTCCTCTATATTAAAGTTTGTCATTACTTTGAACAAAGGTAAAATGACAATCATTGAAAAAATTAATGAAGAAAATCTTATGCTTCTTATAAGGCTGTTACCTGTTACACCAATACACATAATTTCACTCTCACATCCTTATGATTTTGACATATTGTTCCATGAGTGTAGTTGTTGTTAATACCTAAGTGTTGATATGAAACTTAAGATTGAAAAATGGGCATTTAATTTACAGGATACCCTGTAGATGCCACAGGTTACTTGAAGATCATGCAAGTGGATTAGATGTCTAGTGATTGGGATGTGCAGTTATGTTTAAGCAGTGATTGTTTTCCTTTGCAATCCAACTGTTGGGAGAACCAGGTAAACAAAACTCATGCACATGCCAAGTTCAGTGTTTAACTCAACTCAGACATGCAGTTGATCTTAAGTACCATGCATATAAGGTTGGACTTCGTCCTTTTGATTCAAGGGTACCCTGGGACGTAGAACATTGAGTGCTACCATCCATTTTTGTCAATCTTGGGCTCAACTTACCTCAGGATTTTTGCTAGGAATCAGAGTGTTTGATAACAGTTCAGGGGTTGGTTGAGAAGGGGGTACTCACTTGAAAGTCACAAGTCTTTTAAGGGGGGGCAGGGGCATCCTCTCTTGGATAAATCAATGTGTTACCCTATTAAAATCTTTTTTGTGCACTCTGGAGCAAGAATTACTTTGATTAAATGCATGGCTTCCAAACTTGAGAAGTGTTATGAGCATTTGTGAGGACGAAAGAACCACAAGGCATCCCCAAAAGTACTCAGAGTATAATAAAGTTTGTCTCCCTTTTCATGAAGAACTCTTGGCCAATCCAAAGCTCATATCAGTGTTCTCCCTTATTTTAAGCATGATAAGTAAAATAAATTTTCAAACTGGTAAAGCAATCCTTTTACAAGTTGAATTTTCAAGAATTCCAATCAATTTTAAACAGTAATAAGAAGTACTACAGGTGGTAAATGTTACCAGTTACTTCCTGAAAAGGAGAACACTGCATACTATTTCTCTATAGTTTCTCAATCCATGGTAAAGTCCTGGGAGGTTTCTTGATCAAAGTAAACAGCAAACAGTAAACAGAAGAAAATGGTTCAAGAATTCTGCTGACTGCCAAGTCCTTTAATTATTTTTATCTGAACAAAAGTCTGAAACTCTCTATGTTTGAACAGCTGATAATTTTTTCCCTGAACAATTCTGAATTTAGGGTTGTCTCAGCCAATATACTTTTAAATAAATACAAAGAGAGATTGTCATTTAATTACATTTTAAAAGAAAGATTAATCATAGAGCTCAGGGATATAGAGAAGCAACATGGCACTCATCTCACCACCCTTCCTTCCCCTTTCTTTGGCCCTCTTCTAACTTTACTTTCATTTTGTCCAAACATTAGGGGAAAACATTGTCAAAAAATAGGTCAAATATCACTGCTCCCACTTTTACAGAGCCTTTTACAATTTTCTTAAGCCCTTCCTCTAATCTATATGCATGGTTTCACTTTGGTTAAGAGCATGTCCAGGTTATTAATTTATACAGTCAAACGTCCCCAAGTCAGAACCTCTGATGCAATATAAAATGGCAGCACAGTTGACATAGTGGCCAGTGAGAGCAGTTATCATTGAAGATAAGCTTGCAAATTTATGGCTTCAGTGAGATTTGAACTTGTGACCCTTGGCATTGCATAAATATTGGTTTCTTTAGGGTCACTTTCAATGTTACACCAAACTGAGAATTGAGAGAATGAAGCCTTAACTACTCAGTGATCAAATTTGCTGCTAAAAGCTGTTATGAAATCTGACCTTAAACACCTCATCCCCAATGAATGAAAGAAAAGCAACTTAGGTGAAAGTGGAAGGATACCACCAGCTTATATGTATCTCTGCTATCAATGTGTTGAGTAACTGGGGCAAACCATTGCCTTGAAAATGAATATACAAGTTTCTAAAGGGAAGTGTGGTGTCCTTATAATGAAAGAGACTGGTGAGATGGCCGCTCACATGAGATTTCACAATTTGTGAATTCAGATAAAATATCCACTTGCAGATCAGTTGATGAATTTCTTCTCTCAGCAATCTAAAAATACAAATGATTTCTTTTATTGTGACTCTTGAAGCAAGGAACTTTTTGGTGAGTGCTTTATGAAGTTTAGAAATTTTTCTTGTAGTGCCAAATTATTGCCAGGTTTCTTGAAAGTAGCAGTTGACATATCTTGTTTTATCAAAGGTTGTGACTGCTGGGTGGATTGACTGTATGTTAATTACTGTGAACTTGACTGCTGTGTTTTCTTTAAATCTCTCCCACTTTTCATCAGTGAACTGAATTAAGAGCATTATTGAAAGTGCAATTTATCAGTTTCTTCAAAGTTTCTGAGTTTTATCAAGTGTTTGGAAGAGAAACTTAAATCAGGAAAGGAAACATAGGAAACGATCACATTGTTCAGGTTTGATTAATTGTACCATGCCTTACCAAAACAATGTCACACAAAGCCATACAAAATGTTTTCTTTTGTGTTATTAAGGAATGAGGAGAGGTTCCAAAAGAAGTCTCAGAGCTCTTCAGACCAAATTAAAATCCTATTTCCACAAGTACTTTTGGAAATAAGGAAAAGAAGAAACAGATTTGCACATTTAAAAATTGACAGTGTTAGGAATTCAAATTGGAAGTTAAAGGGAAAACACAGAGGACTAAAATTTTGTTCACAGTAATTACTCATGTCTCAACAATACAAAGTGGTCTTACTGTAAATTGGTTTTGGAAAACACCTCATTTCTATTTCAATGGTTAATTGACATCTAAAGAAAAAAGAGTTTGGAAGAATTTAGACCCAAAGAAAAGTCACACAGGTTGTCACCAAATTAACCACAACATAATGTCACACTTTTCTGTTTACATGGTGATTGTGATGAATTAAGTAAAGGTTTTGGCAAAAATTTTGGATCTGCATTGCATTTTGTATGAGAAATGAGCTGTTCACTTAAAACCAGACTTAGCTTGTTACCACAATGTCTTGTTGAGACCTGCACTGAACTTGGCTATATTTTTTAGGAGTTTACCTTGTTCCTTCAGATAATTGGATTGCAAAGTAAAACAACTTGGTAAAAAAAAGTGTTACATTTTATTAACAAAATAAAAATTGTCTCTGTTGTCCATGATTTTATATTAAAAAAAAATAAATAAAAAAAAATCTAGCCAATCTTGTCCCTACTATCTGGTTGCTTCCATTCTGCTGCTGTTACCTGGTGTTGCTTTCTTTAGTACTCATCCTTTATTCCAACTTTAAAATCCTGTTCTGTTCTGACTGATCCCTTAGTCCAAGCCAGGGACAGTTAAATACTTGGTAGAGTTGACCACTAGCTCTCAAGTAGGGGGAGACAGGGTAGAGGAAAGTGAAAGTTTGCTCCCCATGCCTCCAGGGTCTCAGTCCTAATTTGTCACAGTACCACAGCTGATCAATTTGGAATATTAATGAGTGAAAAAAAATTAAAATGCCAAATGGAATTTGATCGAAGGCGCTGATCTGCAAGTCAATGTATCAGAAGCTAAAGTGATTAGCCTAGGCGCCAATATAGAAAACAAAGAAAATTGTGCTCTCCTGTAAAAACTTAAGTAAAAACCTATTTGAGTTAGAAATGTTCCCAACCTGCATAAGGAAAACAGAGATGCTAGCTTGCAGTGTCCAATTTGAGTACAATGTCAGTGAAAGCAAGGAAAAGTGATGAATCCACAAATCTAAGTTAAACAGACACGTCACAACAACACCAAAGAGCACAAGTCAATAAAGGTCTCTCATCAGTGAAGATACCCATATCTGCATTCTCTCTCATTTAACTTACAGTAATCTAACACTACTTTCATTGTTTATGAGCAAGGGCAAATGTTTAGTTTACTTTGAAGAGGAATAAAATTATGCAAAAGGTTTTATTAAATTATTTAAATTCAGCTTTGTTTGTTAACTGACCATATCAAATCACAAGATGTCTACAGGGAATTGCATTTTCAAAAATAAATGTGTGCAAAGGATAGGAAAAAAGAAGCAATTCACCAGAGGACATCTGTGATCTGAAACAGGCAATCAGCAAAAAAAGTCTTGAAACAAGTCTTGAAATAAGTTCTAAGCTATGGAAATGAAAGACAACTACTACCAAAACAGTATGCTTCACCTAAACCTAAATCTTTAGTTTTATGTGATTTACAACTCCTTGAAATCTAGTTCCCTTAGATATTTTCAATTTCAGCTATTAATATGCTAATCATTTCTTGACATGCTTCAGTCACAAAGTTCTCCATGACTTGACCATTGTGTGACATTCCCTCAAAGGCACCTACATGAAAGCTATTTAAAATTAATATTTGTATAATTAAATTATGATGAAATCTAACAATAGACGAAATACTTAGGTACTTATAGGAAAAAGAGGAAAATCTTGCTATGAAAGTAATTTTTCCTTGTGAAAATGCTACATTTACTTTCTTAGAAGAGTAAATTAACTTTTAATTTTGCTCATTCATGACTAACTCTATTGTATGAATAAATTAGTATGACCTGAAATAATAACCTAAATACTAAAGTAAAAGAACTGTTTTCCAGATGAAAATGCTATTTTTATCAGAGTGAATTAAGTTACCTATCCAAGACTGACCCTAATGTTTATAATTGGTTTTTAATTTTTTTTTTTAATGAAAAAGACATAGTGATCCTAAAGTTAATTGTCTTTATACAGAAAAATACCAAAAGGGAAAGAAGAGAAATGGCAAGAAAATGCTTAAAAAAATGGTAATAAAAGCTTTTCATTATATGCTAAAGGATGAGGGAAATCATGAAGTATCAATTCCTATTTCCCTAAAGTATGCTACTCAAATTATAATTATTATCTGTTTATGAAAACAAAGACTGGCTGATCCTAAAATTATTTTGTAATAAAAATCAGATAATTTTTTTAATGTCTATAATTGTGCCTATAGTAAATATTTGTCTTATATTCAAGTTATATTTAATCTAAAATTAAGGAAGAGAGAGACCAGATACAGGATCAACCCATCAGAGAGACCCCAGTAACTATTAGCTCAATTTGATGTCATTGTGAGAATCCAGTCCAACTCAGACAAATGAACTCATCACCAAACCTTACTCTCACTAACATGCACATTCCTTAAGTCCTACAATTTAGCATCCCTGTTTAATTATCCTTGGTTGATGAACATTTCGAGGGATACATTAACTGCAAACAAGCACCTTCTATTGCCAAAATGTTCTGAAATGATGGTGTGGTTCTATGACAAATTAGGTGAAACCCTTAAGACATACAGAGCAAACTCTCACCTTCCTCTATGCTGTCCTCCTAACTTGAGAGCAAGTAGCCAACTCATCCAAGTGTCCAACTGTCCCCAGCCTGAATTTCAGGATCAGACAAAGCATTATCGGATTTCTCAGTCAGAATACTTCAGAGGACATCAGAAACACACCTTTTCAGAGCAGGCAGAGCTTCCACAACCCAGCAGGGATATGATTGGCTAGATTTTGAATTTTTTTCTTTGTTCTTTGTGTGTGTGCCACCAGCAATCTGAAATTAAATAATATCCTAACAACTTAAGTAGATATACAAGCTCATTAGCACAGTACATAGGATAGCATATTACAAATAATAATATAAATAATAAAAAAATATTTTTCAGGTGATGCAAGTTCATGTTTCAAAGCCTGAACTTGTGTAGCCTGTGAAAGGATGTGCTCAGACTACTGTATGTATAAAAATGGCAGAAAAAATACAAGTAATAGAAAAAAAGAGTAAAAATCCTAAAAGAGAACCTAAAAGAGACCGTGAGTTGTTAATCCAAAAGTGACCTGGATTAATATGTAAATTTAAAGTTAAATATTGCCTATGGTTTTTAACTTGTGTAGTAAAGGTATCTTCATAGAAACTAAATATTCCAAAATAACGTTGGCATACTTACCATTGAAGAAAATAGAAATTTGCTTTAGTATGAAAAGAAAATTAGGGCAATTAACTAAGAAATAACCTACACTTCAGTCTCCCATATGATGTTAAAGTTATTTTGTTGGATAGCTTAGTTGGTAGCAACAAAAGTAGTCCACACAAAAAGGTCACAAAGTAACCATGACCAAACTAAAATATTTCTACTAATAGTTAAGAGCAGTTTGCTGATTACCACAACCAACATCATGCACTAAACCTTAATAATTATGAAACTGTGAGGATCCTGAGGACAAAAAACCTTAGAGGAACCTCCAACCCCTAAACTTTACAAGAGCTGAAAGATCCACAACCCAGAAATCTGAGGCCCAAAAACCTACAAATAAGAAAATTCAGTACCCCCAATCCAATCACCTAGAATTTAAATATCCTAAGCAAAAATCAAGCCCTAGAAACCAGCACTGGAGAACTTACAATATTGACAACCTAAGATCCACCAACCTGTGCTCTAGTTAACACGACACACTTATATCTGGAGAATCTATGCCTTGAAATCTGACAACCAAAAATTAAGGTGCATAAAATCTTAGAACCCTTAACCTTGGACATTAAAATCCCAGACCAATAAACCAAAGAGGCAAAAATAAATCTAAGACTAGGAAATTTAAAACCAAGAAGTCTATGACCCAAAAGCCCAATACTTAAAATACTTCAGCCCCAGAAACCCTTGAAACCTGAAACATCTTGAAGTTGGAAAACCCATTACCTAATAGTCTAGGACCCAGAAATGGAAAGCCTGGCAGCATGATGTTGGTAATGTTAGCTATCTCTAATACTAAAGATATTGCCAAAGTATGGCTGCTCCATAAGCTACCCTTTGAGCAGTAAGATGTGCCTAAGTCTATCTTTAACCATAGCTTGGAGAAAAATCTTGTAAAAGTGTAAACAAAAAATTAAACCATTGGGCGTTTGTTCCTTTTCTTCCCTTTCTCTCTGAAAATTTGCCATTTGAAAAGCCTATCATTGGTCAGTGGTCTATAATCCAGTTGTAGCTCAAGTCAGTTACCCATAATAACTCAGGAATCTCTGCGGTACTAACTGGTCCTTATACTTCCGCTGAAGTTTTTGCAGTTTTTTAAGTTTTAACCCCTGGGTTAGAGATTTTAGCACCCCTTTACCTGAATATGAGAATGACAACTCTACCTATTTCATCTGCCCTTGCTCCAGCTTGATTAGGCATTTAATAGCTATGGTTAGAAATTGAATTTGATAGATTTAAGATATTTTACAGTGCCCTTAAATGTGATGCTATTGCAAAGTGTTGTAAAATTCTGCAAAATTTGATAAACAAATTAGGCAAAGTCACTACTGCCAGCTAACTAACATATAGCTGCTCAAAGGAATCTTAAGAATTATTTACTTTAAGGATCTTATGTCAATTGTACAATCAAGTGCTGAAAAAATTAAGACCCAGAAACCTTAGAGCTTAAAAATCATAGACCCAAAATCCAAATAACCTAGGACCCATAAATCTGAAACTCAGAATACCTTCAACCAAAAAGAACCTTGGATTCAAAAACCCTTGGACCAAAAAGCTGCAGATCAAATGACCTAAGACCCCCCAAACACCTATAGATGCAAAATCTTCGAGGCCATCTAAGATGCACATCCCCATACCTCCCCCCTAAAAAAAAGGAAAAAGAACCAAGGACCCAAAAACCCATAGACCTTAAGATCTAAAACCAAAAACCCTGAGATTCAAAACCATAACCCAAAAGCCTTGGACCTGACCAAGGAAAACAATTTCCAATTCTAGAGCAAAGGGAAATAATCAATTATAACAAAGCACATATTTGAACAACTGTGGCACGCACACACTTAAAAAAAATTATCATTAGAAAAAGGTAAGAGCTAAAGAGTAACTAACTAGTTTAAGAGTTTAAGAATGGAGGTTGTGGAACAACAGCTGGGTGAAAAACCTCCCTGTACGTCCACTTGCCCCTAGGAGGAAAACCCCAGGCCAGCTGTACCTCACATTCAAAGGCCTCCTGGGCTGGGCCAACTAAATAAGCTTAAGTGCCATCGCTAGGAATTATAAATCATCTCCAATCTTGTCCTTGTCATCCATTGCCAGGATTCCCCTACCAAGATGGGTTTATGTTGTTGAGTTTTGTGCTCTTCAACTCCAATAGAGGGCTTCTATTGTCCATTTCTGATGGTTTCATCAGGCAGATCTGCAAATAAGATTAATATTTAATTTAATACAAAAATGTCATTATATCCAAAAAATTAATACTGGTATATTGTCCTTTTTTATCATAAAAAAAGATTTTTGCACATAAACCAAGTGGCCCAACCCACTGTAGCTAATCCCAGTTTCTTTGGCATGAAGCAACCAAAAGTATTCTTTCACTTCCCATGTGGGATGCCAATCTGTCACAGTTTCTAAACACAGCCCATTTTCCTTGACAGTTTAACTCCCATGAGTGACCAAGACAGAATTTCTCCTTACAATGGTCAATATCAATACAATATCAAGTAGAAATGTGACAAGAATAAATAAATTGTCAATTTAGGGAGTAATAAGGTGAACCAATACCAAAGTCTCTGACCTAACATCATAAGAATTGTTGGAAATATAAGCTATCTCTAAAGTTTATGATATTATAAAAGTGTAGCTGCTTTATAAGCTACCAAATGCTACTGCAGCTTACCCACAGATCACATACCAAGGCTTGTCCGCCAGCTGCATACCAAAGCTTGTCCACAGGCTACCTTCCAAGGCTTTTCCACAGGCCACCTACCAAGACTTGTCCACAGGCCACCTTCCAAGGCTTGTTCACAGACCACACATCAAGGCTTGTGCACAGGCCACCTTTCAAGGTTTGTCCACAGGCCGCCTTCCAAGGCTTGTCCACAGGTCACCTACCAAGACTTGTCCACAAGCCATCCAGCAGGATTTGTCTATGGGTCACCAAGGCTTGTCCGTAGACCACGTACCAAGGCTTGTCCACCAGCTGCATACAAAAGCTTGTCCACCTTCCAAGGCTTTTCCACAGGCCACCTACCAAGGCTTTTCCATAGACTACTTTCCAAGGTTTGTCCATAGGCCACCTTCCAAGGCTTGTCCACAGGTCACCTACCAAGACTTGTCCAGAGGCTATCCAGCAAGACTTGTCTATGGGTCACCAAGGCTTGTCCATAGACCATGTACCAAAGCTTTTCTACAAACCAATCACCAAGGCTTGTCTATAACGTACTTACAAAGTTTTATCTATCTACCAACACTTCCTTTCTTTCTATTGGTTGAATAAGTAAGAAGCAAATTAATATATAAACTGGTATGAAATACTTGCAGGCAAAGAGAGCAGTGAGAGAGCATGACGATTCATAGACGAAGCTTTTTCTTTTCTTTTTTTTTCTACGAGTAAGGGAAGTTAGTTTTAAAATTCACAACTCTTGACCAAGTAAAACCATTGATAAAAGCTTCAAACTAAATTAGAACGACCACATTGATCCTTTTTTTCAATCCAACAGCTTAATTGGGTGATTTTTCCGGTCCAAAGTGCGAGTTTTCATAGACAAACCTTTTTCTTTTCTTTCTTTTCTACGAGTTAGGCAAGTTAGTTTTAAAATTCAAAACTCTCTACCAAGTGAAACCATCGATAAAAGCTTCATCATTTTGCGGCATTGTGCTGCGCGCTATTATCAACTGATCCAAAGTACAGTATAAAGAATTCAGCATTTCCAGGTATCTTGTTTGGAGTTAATAACAATAGTGAATTGTTGCTTTTTTCCCTCTCATCCTCTCCCCAAGTATAGTTTGTGAATGTTGTTAACAACAAAGCATCCTTATCGTGTTAATAAATTTATAATCAACTGGTTTGCTGATGAAAAAAATATACTGAGAGACCAAGCATATCGAAGGGCATTTTCTCCCTTGGGTACCCCTGTGTGAACAGCACCCTCATGAGCAACTTTCCCAACCCCTCTCCCCAAGTGCCATTAATTTGACACGCCAACAATTTTGTGACAATTTGAAATTCATCTTCACCGAGTCTCTGCACAATTTCCTCAGTGCAACAAACAACAAAAGGCTTTTGTTTGAACTTGTGAAGTTGAACCCACAACAATGGCCCATTTCTTGATACGTGGATATTAAGCAAGATACCATAGGAGAATGGAGGATACCATAATTATTGTTTATGGATTGTGGTATAAATATCTTCCTTTACCACATTAACCTGGGGATAGGCTGCTTTTTCAATCAGAAAAATGAGATAAAATTTTGAGGTGTAGCTTATATTGTGGTACAATCATTTTGACACCTCATGTAAGTCTCCTTGGAATATATCATTTGTGACAGCAGGTTTTTTTTTTTTTTACTGAGTGAAATTAAAGATATGCAATAGTCAATTCCACCAATTTTGAAAAACTCTGTTACTCTGTTACTCATAACTGCATTACACAGTTTAGTAACACACCCACTATAGAGAGGAACCCACCTGATGACCACTAAGACCTCTTGTTCATTTTATTCTAAGCCAGCTTTATAAACTTTCCAACTTTTCTTTGGTAATGGCTTCATTATGACAGCTGTGCAATTTCAAATTGCAATTCACTGATTATTTTTTTTCTACCATAACTTAATCAAAAATGCAAGATGCAGCCTATCTACAGGTACAGCCTATGCAATGGTAAATATGTACAAGCACTTGGAGAATGAAAAGCCACTCCCAAAAAGAGGAGTGAAAAGAGGATCTGCAGTAAAGCCAATACCACAACAAGCCCTTCTTTTACAAACTACAGTAGGTTCATAGTTACAAAGTAACAATATCTGACTCACAGCAAGGTTGCAAAGCAATGGTAAAAGCAAATCCTTTAATTAAATAGGGCTTATCTTGACACAACAATTGCAAGTCTCTGAGGACTTCAATCTAAAGGATGTTCACAGTTAAATTTAAGGTTTAAAAACAGAGAGTAATGCCAGAGATATGAACTCAAGACATTCATTACACAGAATAAGTGGAGAATGGGTCTAACATCAGCCTTTGCCTGGATCTCTAATTTTATTAATAGTGTATTTTTCTTGCTAAAAGGAAAAAAATGCAATTTTTTCAAAGATCTGAAAGTCTTGGATTTCCTTTTGAGGCTAAGATTTGTGTTACCATAGAAGCTTAGAGTTATTAAGCACCTATCAACATTAAGCTCAGGAGAGGGGAGGGACCCTGGACATCTGTGGGGCATTAGACCTCCATTACCATACCCACCCTCAGTCTGGGTCCTGGATAGGGATATTTGATTTTTGCATGGGCAATTTTGTATCCTTAGCAATTTATTTGCTCCATTAACAGATAAAGTAATTTCCTATATTAAATACATTAAAATTTTCTTTAATTGACAACAAAAATAGTAAAGTTATCAATATTACCTCTCTGTGAATATTCTTACAACTCAAGATTGTCAATCAATTATTCATAGTGAAAATACAACAACTGCAAGGAATATAATTTGCCCAAGGTGAGGGATCTTGATCTGATTTTAATAATTTTTCATCCCCTTGAGTGGAAATAGAGACCAAACTTTCTTCAGAAAAGTAAAATCCGTCCAGAATCCACCCCCCCCCCCCTCCCCCCACCCTTTGTGCGTCACATAGATAGGTGCAATACTTAGCTTTGGAGTACATCAAAGGAATCTGATAGGGTTGGAAAGTTAATTGGCATTTAAATATAACAGGAAGCAAAATTACATGGCCAAATAAATATTTAGATCGAAACATCTACACAGTTTTGAGGGTTTTATTCCTTACCTCTGGCAGTTGATCACTGGCAGTTGATCAGAATGTTGCACGTGTCTCCATTTCAGAGTCTTGACAACACAGTCGTTTCTATTTTGTTCATAAAAGTATCTCCAAACGAGAACCAAGATGTTCTGAGAGGCAAGAGATGTTTAAGGTCCCGTTTTCACTCCCATTTTGTATCAAAACGGACAAATGATTTCCAAGCCTGTTTGGGCGCCATATTTGACTTATTGTCAAGTTGTTCCCAGTGCTTTCGATCAACATCTCAAAACTGGTCACGCTTATTTGTCACGCAACTCGTAAAAATCAGATTGAGTAAGAAAAATAATTTTAAAATGACTTCTTCAAATTTCAATTTTATTGATGAACATAAGATGATCTTGTACTTATGTATTGGTTTGTATTGAAATCATCCCTGTCATTATCGTTTTTTGAAACTGCACACTCTAAAAGAACAACGTAGAAGTTATGCCTGACTTTACGTGCTTCATTTCGACAAGCCAATCCAAGCTCCCTTTTGCTTTTTTGTTATAAACAAGCCGAATTGCATGTTTTCGCGTAAAATAAAGGATAAATATCACTAGTCAGAAATTTGTGATTTCTGCAATTTCTGAAAACACGTGTGAAATTTATCCTTAAAGTTACTTAGCCCATGCGACCTATTCTACTTAAGAAAGACTCAGTTAGCGACAGCTGCAACTCATAGGTAACTTTCATATGATTGGGGAGGGGTCACTGAAGGAATATTTTTTACAACATTGGTGCTTCTATTATAGTTATTTATGACTTAACATCCTCAGTGGTTTCGAGTTACTCGTGATCAGTCTTATCTTTGTTATATCTTTTAATATTTAACTATACCCATCCCATCCAATCTCGATGATGTTGCGAGCCACGTGGTGCATGTACTTTGGTCTAATTCTAGAAATACCCTGACGGTTTTACAGTTTTCTTTTTTTAATAATCATTCGAAAACCAGTTTAACAAGCCATATCCAAGTTCTTAAAGTCCATGATGTCAGAATAAGGTCGAGTGATAATTTTTCTTGTGAAAGAGACTTCATATGCGTGGGAATAAAAAACGGTCGTGTAGAGCTTTCAGGTACTTCGTAAATGTATGCTTCCTATTCTTTCGTTGATGCGTTTTTTAAATTTGTCCAAGCCTTGGTGACATCACAAAGAGGGAGCTTCCTCTCACTGGTAAGCAAAAGTAATTATAACCAAGGATAATGGGCTCCTACCCCTGGTAAAGGAAACCCTCACTCCACCCCCTGTTCGAAAAATTCATACCCAACCCCTTATAACCCGAGCATGTTATTCATAACTTGACGAGGAAAGCATAGGACTGGGTCGATAAAGGTTTCCCATTTTTTTCTGAAAAGAGTTGGACGCCCTTCAAACGTAAGATTTTATTTCCATACATAGCCTAGTTATAGGTCGTATAAATTCCAGCATTCACTATTCTTAAGGAATTAAGCAAACTTTGGCAGATATTACAAAATAGCTTTAGGAATTTTCTAAGTTAGCAAATAAACAATTATGATTTTGATTCTTATATTGATATAATCTACATGATTTTATTAAAAATTTTCGTGCACCAAACTCACGAGCATTAAAACAACACATTTTCTTAAATTGAAACGTAAGACGAGTACTATAAAATATGACCAATACATTTTTGGCCAATGATTAATTCTGACAAAGCGGGACATATTTAAGGTGCAAATGTTTTCGATGGCAAAGTTCATGGAGCCTTTTAACTGTCATCATGATTTGCATGTCATCTCTTTTTCGTCCGAGTTGGTGACACTTTTTTCTCTGAAGTTTCCTCCGATTGTCGTTCCTTTTCTTTTTCCCGGTGCCTTCTTCTGTGGCGTGCCCTGACGAAAAAATTGTTTCAGACTGTCAACTCACATCGATTATTACACCCCTCGGTTCAGGTTGAAGAAATGTACGGCCTTGCCATTGATCGAACAACTGTTTGATCAGGAGTTTACAGTGGTAACAACCTCTTAACCGTTTAACTCCCAAGATCTCATTAGTAATTCTCCTTATTATCTGCCATACAGTTCTTGTGATGTTAGTTTGGAGAATTTGGTATTAGATCAACTAATAATCCCCTAATTGATATTTTTCTTTATTCTCATCACTTGTCTGCTTGATATTGTATTGATATCGTAAGGAGAAATTCTGCCTTGGTCACTCACGGGAGTTAAAGGGCTAATTTTGACTCCAATAATGAATATGTCATCAAAACAAGATTCTATAGGGATCTGATTTGATGGATGGCCGCAAGGATATTGAGACCCCCTTAGAGAGTGCTGCGCTTTACCAATCAGGGTCGCAAGAACATCACAAAACCGCAAGGTCATTACGCAAGTCTTCCACAGTAGGAAATGCCGGTTAAGTTAGCGTTTATTGAAATACGTAAGGAGAAAAAAAAAACTTATTTACGAGCTGTTAAGTTTGCCCTCAGCATCGCTGCTGTCCTCAGGTCCTGATATAATCTTCAGATCACCAGATTTAGTGATAACCGCTGTCATCTGTAAAACAGTAAAAAGCACAGATACGGAGTTGTTCAATGAAACAGAAAGGCACTTCAACGTATCCTTAGTTAACTTTTTCTGGGGCACTAAATTAACTCCTATGACTGACAAACTGAACAGCATCATCTTTCTAAACAGACTATGGTTGTTTTTCTGTTGTTGGGATGTGCAGACCTGTGTGTTGACTTTGGACTCTTGCTTGATCGCGCTCGAGGCACTTGGTGCCGTTGTTTCTTGTAGATCACCTTCAGACTCGAGGTCCCCTGTAATAATGACACAGACAGCTTCAGATATCACCGAAAATCATTCTATGCTCTGAGGGTTCTAGTCATGGTTTACCCAATAACACTGGCCGGACGCGATCAGTAATTAAAATAACATTGAAAGGTAATGGTTAAATGTGGCAAAGGTAGGAGACTTGAATGTCCAAACAAAGTTTACATAAAGTACTCGTGAGAATAAACGCAAATTTACTAAAGTACGTGTTCATATAGTTTCTCGGCTGCGCAGGCTCGATTACCAGCTACTGATTATGAAAGGAGCCCGCGCTCCTCAGCTCCTTCTTCACGGAAGGATCGAGGTCTGCACCTAAAAGAGCCGTGAGAATTGAGCCTGCATGGTTGCAAGTTGATTCCTTTTACGCGCACAAAGTTCGTAGATATAAGCACGTACAAAACGCATTGGGACTAAACGAAGCAAGCAAGTTAAGTGTAAGAATTGCTCGAGTAAATGTGGACAGATGCCTTCCTTTTACAGTTATTCGTCAACGTTTCTTGAATCTCACCTTGTTCCATGACGTAATTAGACGGAAAGTAACCCTGCCTCCCATCAGCCAGTTCGCCCATCCACCAATTTTCACTGTCGATGAAAAGAACTGTGATGACGTCTCCAGGTTGAATGGTCAGTTCATCCGCTCTGCTGGCATCATAAGGGTACATGGCTATAACCTTTTGGATGAGAGCGGAAAAAGAAAAACTATGAGTAACTATGTTTTACTTGTTATTTCCCACAGGAATGTCAAGGATCGAGAAGAAAAATGGATAAACAAGAAAAAAAAAAAAACTCTCAAACCCGATAAAATTTTGTTGTTGGTGTTTTGGAGGTTTCCAACAATCTTGAGTGAATATTCATGTTTGAGGTGTTTTGACCGAAGTTTTTCGTTATTGACAAGCGCTACAAAATGAATTGCACACAAACCCAAATTACCTCTGCCTCCTTCTTCAGTTTGTTATAAATTGATTTTATGATCTCGGTATTACGAGACTCAAATGGGTGTCTTGTGCATTATCAATACAAACCTTTCTCCTGGGTGTTGGCTCTTCTTGTAACATTTGCGCTGTTGGTGAGTCAGAGAAAGTGAACTTGGGCCGAGCACTGCTGAGGTGCGACATACTCTGATGATTGAGAGAAGCAATCAAAATAATAAGGTAATTTGGTTCTATCAACTGATTTGATTACGTATATTGACCACCGTTAAGAGTTCCAAAGCTGACGTTTCGAGCGTTAGCCCTTCGTCACAGCGAATGATTCGGGGCTAACGCTCGAAACTTCAGCTTTGAAACTCTTAACGATGGCCAATTTACGTTATCAAATCGGTTGCTAATACCAAATTACCCTATTATACTCTCCCACCGATGCAGCACCACAGTTTCCTCAGAAACTTACCCCCTTTATTAAAATAATACTTGCTCTCGCCTTGAGCATCAAAAAGTAAAACGAACAAGGTAAGTGAAAGCTGCATAACGTTGAGTGTTGGACATTGCAAAAATGATTCAACCTTACAAGGAAACCTATCGAGGAGTAATAAACTAAAACAGGTATCCAACATAGCATAAACATCTAGTCTATTCTTCATGCAGATAGGCAGGTGCAGAGGAGGCAGGCAGACAGACAGACAGGGAGACAGATGGACATAGACAGACAGACAGACAGACAGACGGACAAAAAGACAAAGGGCAAGACAGACGGACAGATGCACAAACAAACAAGCAAACAAGAAGACAGATAGGTAGGCAAAAAGCTCACCAATGGTCCAGGCGTGTCACCAATGTTCATACTTAGAGAAGGCCTCTTCAACCATGACCGTGAGACTCCAACTGTGAAATAAATACAACAGTGATTGGAAGGCGTAAAGTGATGAATAATAAGATTTCATTTGCACTCTTCACCTGTCAAAACATCTTAAACTTACTGGGTGTTTGATAGGGTTGGGGTTTAATCGCTGCTTGTATTGGGCTGCCGTATCTATTATTCTGCTGCGCAAACATCTTCCGAGACTCGAAACGACCCGACGCCCCCAGGTACTGCTGGGCATGCGGCGAAAGCGGTGGATCATAAGGGACCTGTGGGGAGGAAATTGTCGAATAATTACGACATATCAATTTGTTGTAGTTTACAGTTCGAGTACCATCAATGCTGAAATAAGCCCCCGAAGGACTTCTGAATTTCTGAGTTTTCTACACGGAGGTTAAATAGAAAGGGTGAGGAAACTTCATCAAAAACTAACTGGGAGCCAAAATGTGATTCACTTTTTTCTTCCTGAATTGTCATCCTCATTTGATGAAAAACGTAAACAGAATGAATATCTTTGGTTAAAAACCCGCGATATTTAAAAAAGTAGACTAAAACAGGCTTCTTAGTAAAAGTATCGTTTGTAATGAAACGCTACTAGCTTAAATGAATAACAATAGAATTACTATTGTACAGTTCTTGACTAAGAGAGAGGCGGAGAAGGAGGGTGATTAAAACACACTTGGGCTTAAAAGAGAGGGGTGTCCTCGGGGAGAGAGGTGGCTCACATGATTGTAGTACTTCTTCTATTTAATAGCCTCTTCTGAACACAACATTCCAGAAACCTTTTGGATGTTCATGTCATTGAGTTCAACAATCCGCGATTTTGGCTAGAACTAAGAACTGGTTTGCTTGAATGTGAAAAGCGGAAGAGTGAACGTAACTAGTGTACACAGAAACAATAAGGGGCAAGTCATATTTTCAGACAATTTTCTTTTCGTTGGATTTAATCTTATTGCTTGTGGTTATAACTGAGTCAATTCGTGCATCTGAATATTTTTCAAACTGCCAGGAGACTAATACTTCTGTTTAAGCTGCCTTCAAGATGAACTGGATTTTTATGACTTACCTGTCCCGGAGTTGTGCTGTACCCAGCCGGAGAGAAGTCTGAACCCCAGGTTGAAAGACTCACATTAGTACCCAAGCCTTGGCGGTATGTTCGCTCAGAGCTTTCTGGAAACTGAAACGTAACGCTCCCTGGTCTCTTTCCCGGGGTTACAGATCCGGGATATGCGGCACTATCGGGTGTCCCTGGGGTTTGGAACATTAGGCTGTCTGCCCCTGGTGTTCTCAGCAGTGCTCTGTCCATAACGCCGGGAGACGCCGGTGTTTCCTGAGACAACCGGAGAAACATAAAAATTTATCGCAGAGATTGGAAGATCTCGATATTTTGCTCACGAAAGACTGAGGCACTCCTCCAGTAACAAACTGAATGCCTTTTATTTGATTTTCATCAAGCAAAAAAAGTTGAAAAACAAGCAGTCAAAATTGCTAGGGGTATTTTCTAGAGAAAAAAAAACCATCACCCTATGAGACAAATCTCGTCAGCGAGAGATACAGCGACTACACTACATGGCCTCCATGTGAACAAAGGTGTCTAATCATATCGAATGTAAGGATATGACGTGCGTAAGCAAAAGAAGAAGTCTAGAATTATTAAAAGAAAAGGAACCATGAAAATAAAGTTAACAGTTTCTCTGACTTGTAATAACTCTGCACTATCGAGAGAGAGTGCGAGTATCCCAGTTTCGAAAGTTCTCCACCGTTGAAATGATAAGTAAAATCATATGATAAGGACGTCATGATATAAAATCAACACGGAAAGGAGAACTCATCAAAACGCAACATGTTTTCCAGTTTTTTAAGGCTCACACAAACTTCGCTTTTAAGATATACTGAATGCGAGAAACGGCGAACGGAAACTGGAAAAAAGACACGGTAGGCAGAAACATTAGAAAGGCTATTTATTCCACCCAGGTCCAAAAGATCAAGGCCAATCTCGACAGGTCTTACCAACTAGCTCCCCTTACTCAATGTCTCTCATTCAGTCATTTTTCGCGTACGCAATTAAACACCCTATACGTCGCAAGCTGATGAGCGTTAGTCCTCTCTCAAACGAGAAATAATCCACACCCACCAGTACGGAGTCCAGTTTCTGCTTGACTTTTCGCATGCGCAACAAGTCCTTGGTTACATCAGCCATCTGCGCATGCCTGGTAACGTCATCAGGGGTGGCTGTGCTCTGCTGTGACGTAGCAGCCTGTTTAGAGGATGTCACTGGGGAAGTCATAAATTTCTTCGCTTCTTCTTTCGCAGCTGGCGACAGAAACAAACAATGTAGAGGAGAGTATACCTCTAGAACTCAAATTCCACCAACTAGCATCTTTGTTATCATGTGCATTATCATGGTAACTATTACAATCATCATTACCATACCTCTTATCAATAAAGAGTTCGAGGTCCGTATTGTAAGTTACAGACCGAGTTTTTTCCGCTCGGATTTAAGGACCGTGAAACGAGGTTAGTAAGATATATATTATGCCTCTGAGTTCAAATTAAGGATGAAGATTTCAGTTCAAACAAAATTTTGAATTTAGCGGGCCGTTCAGTGAAATACAGCTCACTAAATTGACCCATCATTTTTCACGTACCAACTAAGAGATATAATCAAGTGTGAACATGATACAGCATATTTCTCTGAAACAAACCTTTGGGGTCATAGTGGTATACAAGAACAGGATGTGAGTCACCAAATGAACAGAAGGCGATGATGTGATCCAAAGGATGAAACTGCACATCTGACACGGCATGATGATAACCAAGTGATTTGTACACTGATACCAGGTCGCCTGAAATGTGCAGTTGAAAGAAAAATTCCTTCATACTGATTATTATATACGTAGATCATTCTCAGAGTGTACTGCAAACCATAACCCACATCAAGGGGCCTGTATCACTAAGTTATCCCGGCTCTCAAAAGCATAGGGCGACTAGAAGTGTTGGTTTCCTCCTTAATAAGGCTGAGGCAGAAGTCATCGTAGTATTAGGGTCATCTCTAAGAAATCTTACAGGTTTTCCTACCAACGTGCCCAATGAATATTAAAACTCCCAGTGAAAGAATGGCAGTGAGGGAGTGGTTCAAATTTGTGGCCTTAAAACACACATAACAACCCGGCCTTTCAGAGCTTAACGCTCTAACCTAACATCGATTTGCAAATTCTCCGTACCATTCTCTATACATTTCCTATGGAGTTGAAAAGGAGAATTTTTTTTAACAATCAAGAGGTTCTCTAGGTTGGTGATTATTTCCTTTATTCTTATGACCCTGAAGTGTAATTCAGGGGTGATATTGTATGGAGAAATTAGATGCTGGTCAACTTAGGAATCAAAGGGTTACACCAGGGCCAACATTATCTGATGTAGATGTTCCGCTAAAAATAAGGTTTTAAACAAGACTTACCTGTTTCTGTGTTCCACACATACGCATGCCCATCTTCGGAGCCCCCGATAACGAAACAGCCACATGCACTCATAGTGCTACGAATGTGTTCCTTAAAGTTTGAGGCTTCAAGGTAGCGTTGCATGACGGTATAGCTCCTCAGGTCCAGCATGCATAGCACACTGTTACGCACGTGAACCAGAATCTTACGGCCGTTTGGATGTAAACAGAGCGAGTTGATGACGTTACCCTTCAAATTCAGAACAAATGGCTGGTGAGACTATGTAAGTTATTAAGTAAATGGTACATTCACTAAGTAACTAACGAAGACTATTGCACTGTAAGACTGAGAGAAACAATGGAAGAGAAACCAGTGCTGAAATAAGGTGGATTAAATCTGCAAGTGACAATCAAACCACCAACCTGAATTTCATCAATGGCTACTTCTTTATCCAGCGTCCAGTCGTGAACGTAACCTAGCAAATGAAAATCACAGAAATAATTTTTTTAACGGTCTGATTAAACTGTTTTGGAGATGATTAAAACCGACAATAAAGTTGACTACCCCAGTGGTAAATGGTAGAAGTGAGCCAAATATGACTTCTAAGTTTCGGTGAAAACCTTTGTCATGAAAGTTAAAAAGGCATAGTCTACACATGAAACTAGCTCGCAAAGCTACTGGAGCTTATTCGTATTTAGCATAAGCATCAAGGAATATTGCCACTCCTCCTGAGTGAGATGTAAGTCCATCCCAAGTCACCCTTCCTCGTTTTATCAGCTCTCGGAGTACAACAGTAATTATTTTATAAGAGCGTTTTGCTCCCTAACATCAGTTTGCATATTCTCCATACTTTCTCTATACATTCCCTGCTATGCTGACAAGGAGAATTTGTTTACCAATCAAGAGCTTCTTTAGTAAAAAGAAATGTGATGCTTGTCACTCTAAGCAGTCAAAGGGTTAACATCTACGTCGTCCTGACTGATGATATTGACAAATGAATAATTACAAATAACCAACGCGAGATGCACACAAGTAACAAGTACATGGCACAATTCTCTCTCGAATGGAAGGGTTAAAGAGGTATTTGAATATGAGACAAGCTGGTGATTTGCGATTTTAATCACCGTTTGTCTTACCACCAGTTCCTTTTCTCTTCCTTTTTGTATCTGCTTGTGCTTGAACATACGAGTTCCAAATCATAACCACCCCGTTACTGTCTGCTGAAAACATCTTAGCACCTTGAAGGAAAGATAGTATCGAAACTTGCAGTAAAGTCAGGATAATGTTGAGTTCTGATTGGTTCGTTGTGGTTACCTTATTCAGAGTAAGAGGAGTCCTTCTCTCCCAGCGTAATCTGCCGCGCGAGTCCATCAAATCGGGGCAAAAAGGTGTCCCTGCGCAGTTGAGCAGTGCAAAGCGAGGCATGCGCATTAAGCTGGGAAAAGGGAATAATCGCGTCTAAATTTCTTCAGTTTGAAAACCTCTTTTCATGGCAAGAACAGTCACCCTCAACTATTTATAGTAATGGACTAAAGCACGACTCACCATCTTGGTCGAAGCAGATGCTGTTGATAAAGCCACTGTGTCCCTCAATTTCTCTCAGAAGCTGCGGATAACACCAATTAATATTAACAACGTTTTACAAGTTTCGCGAGTTAGTTTTTAAGATCAGTTGAACCAGAGACTGCAAATCTGCAATCTGCCACACTTAAAAAACAAATCTGTATTCAGTAACGATTCTCAACAGCCAAGATGTATGTACAGTAACACATTACTTTTAAAACGCACCAATTTTTAAAAGCTAATTAGGTTTGACCAACGTTTTCCGAGTGCTTTATTTTAAAAGTTGAAAATTAGGACTCGAAGTTACATTTTCTTTAGAGCAAGTGTAACCTGATCATCTAAGTAAGCGTAGATTGAAAAGGATTTTTGAAGGTGACAGTGAATGACGTTTCAATAACCTGAAGGGAAGTCGTTATCATAGTCAAGGGAAGAGCTGTTTTTAAGTTCAGTGAAGGTCCTTTTCAGGACTAAGCAAATCCCGATAATTAGAGGACACGATCCATATCACTGTGTTGGTGAAGGGGTTTCCGTAGTGTCAATGTCAATATCCTGATATTTCTTATCTCATTCAATCAAAACCAACAACACAGTGTAAATTAATCAACAACTCGGTGGCGTTTTAAGTGTAACTCTTCTCAAATTATTATCGACGTCGCGAACATGCACAGTCTGTCAATGAAGTCATTTTACCTTGCCATTGAGCCCATCGCTCAGTTTCGTCCATACCCTTATAAGGTGGTCATATCCCCCGGTCACCACAAGATGAGGGGAGCCTGGGTGATATTGTGCTGCATACACAAAACAGGGGTGTGGATACAGCTTGATAGATAAAGTCATCATCGTCTTTGTGTCCCAGCATCTGTTCATTGGACAAATGATAGAAGGCAAGTTAAGGTGGCTGACTAACATGGACAAAGAAAAAGAGTAGGTGGTAAGCTAATCAAAGGGTGAACTTCTGATAGGATTTGCAGTTGTCTTAAATCTCCAATTCAAATAAAATCATCCGCAAGGCGACGATGATCATGGTAAAAATCCAACAGACGGCAGTTAGTTTATTGTTTACCTGACAGTTCCATCTGAGGAGGTCGACAGAAGTTCAGAATCGTCAGGTGACCAACACAAGTCATATATGATACTGAAGTGTCCAGGAAGATGAACGCAAGTTTCATATGATGGTACCTGACAATAAAAAAAGCAAAATGAAGACCCTCTGTCATGGAGGCCAGTTTAAAACTTTGCAACGTTGCTGAATCGTCATTCTTTTCAAAAGAATCTCTATTGCAGTAAGCTTGTCATAAAGGACAAAAACATCTTTATACACGCAAAAAGTCAAAAAATCCAGCTCAGATCCGTAGTAGTCCTCTCCACCAATGCCTCTCCATCATTAGTATAAAGGATAAAGTTAATGTTTGCGGGCATCGATATATTTTGGGCCAGACCTAAAGCGTATAACCAAGAGACCAACGTAACAAACAATTAGACAGAACACAAATAAAACGGTGCACAATACTAACATGGACAAAGAAAAAGCACACAGAAAAAGAGTAGGTAGTAGGTTAATCAAAGGGCGAACTTCTGATAGAACACAGAGAGAATAGTGCGCCAGACACCAACGTATCGAACAATCAAACATAACATAGTGAGAAAAGTGCTTAAGAACCTAAGAACGTAACAAACAATCAAACAGAACACAGAGAGAATAGTGCACGAGACACTAACGTACCAAACAATCAAATTGAACAGAGAGAATAATGCGCGAAACACTAACGTAACGAAAAATTACACACAACACAGAGAGCATAGTGCACGTGACACTAACGTAACAAACAATCTAACTGAACAGAGAGAATAGTGCGCGAGACACTAACGTAACAAACAATCAAACAGAACACAGAGAGAATAGTGCGCATGACACTAACGTAACAAACAATAAAACAGAATACAAAGAGAATAATGCGCGTGACACTAACGTAACAAACAATCAAACAGAAAACAGAGAAAAAAGTGCGCGAGACACTAACGTAACAAACAATCAAACAGAAAACAGAGACAATAGTGCACGTGACACTAACGTAACAAACAATCAAATAGAAAACAGAGAGCATAGTGCACGTGACACTAACGTAACAAACAATCTAACAGAAAACAGAGAGCATAGTGCACGTGACACTAACGTAACAAACAATCTAACAGAACACAGAGAAAATAGTGCGCGTGACACTAACGGAACAAACAATCAAACAGAACACAGACAAAATAGTGCACGTGACACTAACGTAAGAAACAATCAAACAGAACATAGAGAAAATAGTGCACGTGACAGTAAGGTAACAAATAATCGAACAGAACACAGAGAAAATAGTGCGCAAGACACTAACGTAACGAAAAATTAACCACAACACAGAGCAGAGAAAATAGTGCGCATGACACTAACGTAACAAACAATCAATCAAAACACAGAGAGAATAGTGCGCGTGACACTAACGTAACAAACAATCAATCAAAACACAGAGAGAATAGTGCACGTGACACTAACGTAACAGACAATCAAACAGAACACAGAGAAAATAGTGCGCATGACACTAGCGTAACAAACAATCAATCAAAACACAGAGAGAATAGTGCGCGTGACACTAACGTAACAAACAATCAATCAAAACACAGAGAGAATAGTGCGCGTGACACTAACGTAACAAACAATCAATCAAAACACAGAGAGAATAGTGCACGTGACACTAACGTAACAGACAATCAAACAGAACACAGAGAAAATAGTGCGCATGACACTAACGTAACAAACAATCAATCAAAACACAGAGAGAATAGTGCACGTGACACTAACGTAACAGACAATCAAACAGAACACAGAGAGAATAGTGCACGTGACACTAACGTAACAGACAATCAAACAGAAAACAGAGAGAATAGTGCGCATGACACTAACGTAACAAACAATCAATCAAAACACAAAGAAAATAGTGTACGTGACACTAACGTAACAAACAATCAATCAAAACACAGAGAATAGTGCACGTGACACTAACGTAACAAACAATCAAACAGAACACAGAGAGAATAGTGCACGTGACACTAACGTAACAAACAATCAAACAGAACACAGAGAGAATAGTGCACGTGACACTTACGTAACAAACAATCAAACAGAACACAGAGAGAATAGCGCGCGAGACACTAACGTAACAAACAATCAAACAGAAAACAGAGAGAATAGTGCACGTGACACTAACGTAACAAACAATCAAACAGAACACAGAGAGAATAGTGCACGTGACACTAACGTAACAAACAATCAAACAGAACACAGAGAGAATAGTGCGCGTGACACTAACGTAACAAACAATCAAACAGAACACAGAGAGAATAGTGCGCGAGACACTAACGTAACAAACAATCAAACAGAACACAGAGAGAATAGTGCGCGTGACACTAACGTAACAAACAATCAAACAGAACACAGAGAGAATAGTGCGTATGACACTAACGTAACAAACAATCAAACAGAACACAGAGAGAATAGTGCGCATGACACTAACGTAACAAACAATCAAACAGAACACAGAGAGAATAGTGCGCATGACACTAACGTAACAAACAATCAAACAGAACACAGAGAGAATAGTGCGCGTGACACTAACGTAACAAACAATCAAACAGAACACAGAGAGAATAGTGCGCGTGACACTAACGTAACAAACAATCAAACAGAACACAGAGAGAATAGTGCGCGTGACACTAACGTAACAAACAATCAAACAGAACACAGAGAGAATAGTGCGCGTGACACTAACGTAACAAACAATCAAACAGAACACAGAGAGAATAGTGCACGTGACACTAACGTAACAAACAATCAAACAGAACACAGAGAGAATAGTGCGCGTGACACTAACGTAACAAACAATCAAACAGAACACAGAGAGAATAGTGCGCATGACACTAACGTAACAAACAATCAAACAGAACACAGAGAGAATAGTGCGCATGACACTAACGTAACAAACAATCAAACAGAACACAGAGAGAATAGTGCGCGTGACACTAACGTAACAAACAATCAAACAGAACACAGAGAAAATAGTGCACGAGACACTAACGGAACAAACAATCAAACAGAACACAGAGAGAATAGTGCGCGTGACACTAACGTAACAAACAATCAAACAGAACACAGAGAATAGTGCGCGTGACACTAACGTAACAAACAATCAAACAGAACACAGAGAGAATAGTGCGCGTGACACTAACGTAACAAACAATGAAACAGAAAACAGAGAAAAAAGTGCGCGAGACACTAACGTAACAAACAATCAAACAGAAAACAGAGAGAATAGTGCGCATGACACTAACGTAACAAACAATCAAACAGAACACAGAGAGAATAGTGCGCATGACACTAACGTAACAAACAATCAAACAGAACACAGAGAAAATGGTGCACGAGACACTAACGTAACCAACAATCAAACGGAAAACAGAGAAAAAAGTGCGCGAGACACTAACGTAACAAACAATCAAACAGAAAACAGAGAAAAAAGTGCGCGAGACACTAACGTAACAAACAATCAAACAGAAAACAGAGAAAAAAGTGCGCGAGACTAACGTAACAAACAATCAAACAGAAAACAGAGAAAAAAGTGCGCTAGATACTAACGTAACAAACAATCAAACAGAAAACAGAGAAAAAAGTGCGCGAGACAGTAAAGTAACAAACAATCAAACAGAAAACAGAGAAAAAAGTGCGCGAGACAGTAAAGTAACAAACAATCAAACAGAAAACAGAGAAAAAAGTGCGCGAGACACTAACGTAACAAACAATCAAACAGAAAACAGAGAAAAAAGTGCGCGAGACAGTAAAGTAACAAACAATCAAACAGAAAACAGAGAAAAAAGTGCGCGAGACACTAACGTAACAAACAATCAAACAGAAAACAGAGAAAAAAGTGCGCGAGACACTAACGTAACAAACAATCAAACAGAAAACAGAGACTTTCGACTGAGGTAATGGAATTATAATTCTTTGGGAAATACATCGAAATGATGCTAGATACCGTTAGCACATTGAAGACATTAAAGCTGAAGATGACGAAAATACGTGTGCAGACACAGCGGAAATGTGGCTTAATTGTTACCTCGTATATAATAATTGGGAAGCTGTCCAAGTCTGCACAGCCACAAGCCAGGTATCTAGGAATAGAGTCAAACATGTCACTGTGACAAACTACTGTAAGTTCTGTTTCTTCTCTACACCTTTCTCATACACAATCTCTTTTCATGTTATTTCTGTGCTAAAGAAGTTGGCTTGTCACTGAGTTTCTTTTCATTCTGGAGAATCAGTCAAGATTCAGTATGGACAGATTTTCAGCACGCCCGAGAATTTGGCCACACGATTAGTATAGCGATTTGTTCGTGATATACGGGCATCAAATAAATGGGCCTGCACTGTATCACTAGCATGTTACTCTATTTCACAGCCCGGCATTACTGTATGAAATTACTCAGTGCCAAGAAAAGTTGGATTCCGAACCAAAGAGCGTAAGTAAATTATCTCAACGTGCGAGATTAGTTTTAAAAACCGTTGTTAATAACGCACATTTGGAAATCTTCGTGGAAGTTACACTTAGCTACTTCCAGAGAAAAGCATACAATGCTAAAATTTAACTAATAAGTTAAGAGTATTGTTTTGACATATTGAAGCTTACAAAAAATTTTTAACTTCTTATAGCACTACCTGCCATTGTGCGAGAACTTGAGGATGAAACAACCCCTCTTTCCTGACAAAAGTGATGCATTTTGTTTGTTTGGAATACGATTCATCTGCAGCCAAGAATCAAAATACAGGAAAAAAAACCATTATGAAAGAGACGTAATCATTAACCTGGGAATGGGGGTGAGGTTCGTCCTATAATGAGCTGAAAAGTGGAGTGCTTCACTTCAAAGGTCACATTTTCCGGCAATAGAAATGTAACAGTAATTATTTCATGAAATGAACTGAAGAATCGGCTTGGCATATAAACCATTGAGTCTGATGGCATGCTATGAGATGAAAAAGCTGATTTACCTGACCGGGAAGCCTGCTCCAGTTTTGAAGTTCATCGTCACTCTTTCCATCTCTGCAAAAACAAAAAAAAACCTGTATAAAAAGGGTTACTTGCCTACACTTTAAGCGCACCAATTACGTACTTTACCCAAGAGTGTTGTATGAAAAGCGCTCTAACTAACCGACAATTAAATCGGTCTTTGCCTCCAGGCGATAAGCAACTATACCAAATGTTAATCAACCAGTAACTGTCTCACAGGCTACAACCCTTTTTGAATATCAGATTTGTGTCCAAATAACAGTTTGCTGGTACTCTTGACCGAGGGGGAGATTTGGGGATGACAAGTGATTTTCCTCAAGATCATGATCGATTTGGTCCTTCTTGTGCTCATTAAACCCGTAAAAATTGCACACACAAAAAACACAGCACATGTCAGTGCACAAGGAAGGTACAAACCTCATTCCATGAGCTCGTCTTTCAGCATCCAAACCAAATTCCTCAAACGATACCTTGCCCTTTTCCTGTAATCGAGAATAGAATAATTACCAAAACAATTAAAGACATCCATTTCCCGAACAAGCTAGGGTTTGAAGAGAAAGCAAGCTAATGATGGTGACATATGTGGGAGCGCCATTAAGTGTATTATAACAATACATTATCACCGATCTTACCATAAAATACTAACAACTAACTAAAAACCGGCATTTTTTAACTTCGCCTCGTTATAATTTCTCAAATAAGAAATAAATGTTCGCAACTAGTTTTAAAGTTTCTGTGTTGCAGCTGTTTTCTTTATAGTGCTTAAACTCCACAGAACACATCTCTGTTGGCAGTTTGTAATGACCCGAATGTTCACCATACCTATCACAATGTTCACAAAGAAAAGAGAAAAAGAAAAAAAAAAGGCAAACCTGTTGGATGGCAAACATAGAACGCAAACTCGGGTCAATAGTCTTGGGTGGCTGGACCCCCTTTAATGTCACATAAAGAGTGGAGGGGTAAGGCACTCGCTTAGTTGACTTCCACCACTGGTATACCTGAGTGGATAAGATCACCACATCACCACAGTTATAACGAGATGGTGGCTAGAAAAAGGGGTAACTTTCTAAAGAAAGTGTGGTGCTGCGTCGGTGGGAGAGTATAACAGGGTAATTCAGCATTATTAACTGAGGCCTGAACGGGAATCGAACCCATGACCTCTGCGATACCGGTGCAGCACCGGTGCGGAAAATACATTTTAAGCAAATGAAGATCATCGCAGTATATACTCAACTTAAGCAGTTGAGAAATAAGGCCTGAAAAAAATTCCGCAGTACAAATATATGACTTTCATGTATTCTTATCACACCTTCTCCATCTACGGGTATATAAAGAACTCACAATTGACCAGCTCCCAGTTGGCTTGATAGCTCAGTTGGTTAGAGCGCTGCACCGGTATCGCAGAGGTCATGGGTTCGATTCCCGTTCAGGCCTTATTTCTCAACTGCTTAAGTTGAGTATATACTGCGATGATCTTCATTTGCTTAAAATGTATTTTCCGCAGTACAAATATATGACTTTCATGTATTCTTATCACATTATTAACTGAGTTGATAACGTACATTGGCCACCGTAAAGAATTTTGAAGCTTACTGTCTGCAATACAATTATTATGATGTTAGGTTGGAGAATTTGATATTGGATCAACTAGCAATCCCCTAGTTGATATTTTTCTTTATTCTCTTCACTTGTCTACTTGATATTGTGTGGATATTGTTAGGAGAAATTCTGTCTTGGTCACTCATGGGAGTTAAAGGGTTAAACCCACAGTGACCATATCAACAGCTATCTTACCTCTACTATGTTGTTCGTTTTGATTGTAGACTTGGGAGGCTGGAACAGTTGGAGACGAACCTTTTTATCCGTGTTGGGCGCGCCATTCCCACCAACAACCTTGGAAAAACAAAAATTATGTGACTTTAATTCTTTTTTCACTCAAAAGTACTTCCCATTAAGAAATGAAGACTTTCTCTTGTATTAGGAAAGCATCATCTTTGTCCGCTTTCCTTGGTTGAGTAAAAATGTGTTTTAGTCAAAATCATGGTTGACAACTGCATCGCTAATTGGAGGTTACAGCCTGAAACATCCAGGAGCTTCCCCTAGATGGAGGCTTCTCTCATGGCTGGCAAATCCTGGCAACCCAGCCATGAACCCCCACACAGGAAAGGGAAAAAGGCATCTGCCACACCGAATAAACAGTGGAAAGAGGGAGGGAAGGGGTGGGGAAAACTGCCTGGATGATGAGCTGGCACTCCTCACAACGCTGCAAGTTCATGCTCTAAGCACACGCAAGAACGCCTCAAATGAAGAGCACATGGAATTCCGACGCATGCGTATATGTAAAAAACCGCTGGCTACCAGAGAACGCTAATGCTTTTTGTTGTTAACTCCGTTAAATTGCATTTAACTGCATTATAAACACAACGTTACACTGGGAAACACATCTGCTGAAATGTAACGGTTTTTGAACCAAGAAGGACTAGAGGTAAAAGTCATTAATTTAACTCTAAACGCGAAATTTTCACTCTAACAATCGGATGTTTACACCCTATTGCAAGTTTGTCCCACAAGTACACAGCTTCCCCCCTCCCCTCCCCATAACACAGCTAATGAAGCCAACTTACTTTTAGAAACGCCCATGCTACATGATACCATCCTTTGTCACCTGTCACTACGCCTTTCCTTCTTTTTGCAGCTGTCATGCTCAAGAAGTCAACCACCTTACACAAAAATAGAAAATTATTGCATATGTACGTAAGTTGGTTACATTACCTTGAAAGACATTTGGCTGGTCAATGTTTAGAAATAGATTTGTTGACTCTAGGACAGTAACCCATTTCCCTGTTTCCCTGTAACTATATAAGTCAAAAAGCATGAGCTCAGCAGGATCTTCAGAGTCACAAGGCTCAAAGGGGACAAATTTCAAAGAGACGATGTTCATTCTGAGAAGGGGTTTGTGACCGCTCCACTGTAATAGCGTTCTAAAAGGTCCAACCTAAACGACCTCATCTATTTTAACTGGATCAATCACACCCCTTCCCCTTCAAACTTCATTTGCTACAAAAAGTGATCCTCACCTCAAAAAACATTATAACTTTTGGATCTGATTCCTTGCGACTTAGAAAGTAAGAGAATACATCGTTGAATAGGAGAACTTCTTCCCAAGATGGTGTCAAAGACCTGGAAATAAATTCATGTAGAACCACAAGAGGCAGTAAGCCAGGACAATATGCAACATGTAAGTCAGAGTGAAAAGATCACCTGGCAGGGGCATAAATAGTAGCAACAACTATTTGGTCCAATAGCAACTCAAGTTTCAAAAGGAAATTAGGGAATAGAGCACAAAAGCCTTAGTGTTCACTGAGTGCATTTTTTAGTCATCTGGAAAGTGGTGTAATTTTTTAGTTTTGTATTTCTTCCACTTGAAGATCACAAGTTTGAACTCAAATGCAAAAGACGGTATTTACAAGAAGAGAAGGGCGATGGAAATTTTCAGGGGCAGGACATAATAATAAGAAAAGACAATAGTGACAGTATAACTCACTTGTATTTCTTAAAATCATAGGGCTGTGTCATGACAGGCATTATGAAGTCAACAGGAGCATCACTTTGAGTTTCATAGTAGGAAGTCACACTGCGAGAACTATAAATGAGAGACATGATATTCATAATTGAAAAGTGTTAAAATCTCATCATGCCTGACTCAAATAATGCATGTTTCAACACTGCTCATCAAAGACCTTTATTGTTACTTTCTGAATGACAAGTTTGAACTCAAACTAAACTAATTCACTACTTGAAAAGTATCCAAAAATTGTAAGTCCCTCAGCAGGAACATAAATAAAGATATCTAAATATGTCAGGCCTCCCAAATAATTATGTATTGTACCATGTACATTCTTTATACTATAATATAAAAAATTTGCAATAGTTTTCATCAAAGTAGTGAGTAACCCAGCTGTGAACACAACCCCCATCAGCCTTTAGACCATCTGCATGATTTTCAATTGAAGCTTGCAACAGTTAACTTTAACCTTAATTTAATATACTCTTAGCATTAATGTAGTGTCTCTTCCTTTCCCTTAAGTACTGTTTGGTTTGAGTCATTGAAACTGATTTTGGGTTATAGGATAGTATTTCAAGCCATCCCTTATCACCAGACTAGGAACAACTTTAAGTAGGTTATTTAACATTGACCCAAATACCACAAAACCCAGAGGGATGAGAATCCACCTTAGCATGCTGAAAAAAAAAAGGTTTAGTACATATATTGAAATCAATCCAATTATTCCTATCACAAAATTAGCATGTCCATGACGTGTATCTAAAAGAACTGGCCACCACAAAGAGTTACAAAGCTGATGTTTTGAGCTCTAGCCCCTCGTCTGACAAAGTGCTAATACTTGAAACATCAACTTTGTTACTATTTTGGTAATACTAAGTTACCCTGTCACACTCTGCCACTGAGGCAGCACCACAGTTTCTTTAGAAACTTACCCCCTTCATCTAAAACAACCACCTTCTTGTACAAGGAAATAGCAATGTGTATTAAGATGTGTTTACCTGTCAGATTTCTTGACATATTGTCCTGTTTCCATATCAACCACATGGACTCTTACCATTGGATGAGAAATTAAGAGATCAGGTTTCAGATTGTCGGCACGATGGACAGTAACTGACAGAATGTAACCATCGTCACTCCTTTTCTTCACAACTGTCAATGAGTCGTCAGCATCAGGGTCTAAAGATAACACAAAGATAATTCCTAAAAAAGCTAAACAGTAGGTTAAGGTGTAGGGTGAAGTTTATTACTCAAGGGTGCAGCTATGAAGGGAGTTCAGGTGACACCACACCCCTAATATGAAAAAAATCTTCTCTAGGCCTGCCACTCAATAATAATAAAATTTTTCCTTTACCATGAAGGAACAAATTTTGAGAATATGTTTATATGTTTAATTCCCTTTGCAGGAAGAATGAACCAATCAAAAACTGCCTTGTTTCCAGTATGCGGCTTTGCAGCTACATTTAAGTTTATGAGACATCAAAATGTATCAGTCATAACTATGACTTGTACATGGACAGAATCTAACAAAAACAACAAACAAAAAGGCTAAATACCATGAAGTCTCCTTCTGACTTTTCCCTTCTTTTTCTTTGGAGTAGTAGTGGATGATTGTCCAGCCTATGGATAACAACTATTTGTTTGTAAAATGACACTTATAAAAGACATAGCACACACAAGCAATGAAGGGAATGCCACGTATCACAAGTTATAGGGTGCTAAAATTGTAAAATAACATTAATATTTTAAAAATAATATCAATAACCACACATGCATATCAGTGCTCACATCTTCTACATCCAGAGCTGCTTCATTCTCAAATCCAAGATTTTCTTTTGCCCTTTCTTGATCAACACCTGGTTCTGGAGTTTTAGGTTTTTTCCTTCTTCTGGGCTTTTCTGCAGGCTCATCTGGAGTACCTTGTTCACTAAAATAAAAATTAAAAAAGGCTTTCTTAAGGTGATGATCACTACAATTTATTATGATTCAGAAGGTCAAGAGCTACCAGTGGCTGACTAGCTAGCGCCAGTATGACTATATGAGAAAATGTATACATGTAAGGCTAGTTGTCTACTTGAGTGACTGCCTCTACTGGTTGACTTTTCAAATTGTCATGGCTGAGCTTGGAGAAGTAAAACTCACACAAAATGCAAAAAATACTGCACAAAACAGGGCTAATGGAAAGAGATTGCTGTTGCCTTGTGTCCCATAAGAGATAGAAAGGATTACGTACATAAATAAGTCAGTGAGCTGGTCTTCTTGACTAATTGTCCATCTGTTCTCCACCAGACTATTGTGTTGATGTTTCTCTGAACATCTGTCTGATTATGATTTTGTTTGACTCTCTGAATTACAATCTAACTGTCTTTGTGACTCTCTGACCTTTATCTGACTGTCTGCACATATGTCTCTTCTACCTCCAGTGATACTCTCAGCAGTTGACTATGGTATCTGACTTTTTGATTGACTAAATCTGAGCAACTCTTATCTTTCTGATTAATCAGCTTTATTCACTTAACTGCTCTACCTTGTCAAAGTTCTAGTCTTCTTGGGCCGTGCCTTCTTAGTAGTCTTTCTTTCTGGAGTGTTGCCATCCCCTCTGGCTGGCTCTGTCACTGAACCTTCCAACAGATCTTTGTAGCTTTGTTTATTTTCTTTTCCTTCCTGTATAGAATCATCTAACAAAACATTGAACAAATGATTGGTAAATTTTAGTCTCAGATGTTGAGTAAAGAAAAAGTTACCATCTTTCTTATTCCTTTTCCACTTTAAAAATTTTTACTACCTTGTTAGCTCAGGAAGGTGGGTGTTAGACTGTCCTGCAGGAGGTTGAGCATTCAAGCCCCAGACTAGACTAATACTTAGGGTCTTAAAATGACTAAGAAGAGTGAGCTGCCTTTGCTACAACATCTGCAAATGGTTGGACAATTCTAGTCTTCTCAGATAAGGATAATAAACTATATAGGCCCTGTCTCTTGCATCTCCTTTGTTCTGGTTAGCAGGGGACATTAAAAACACACACACTTCTCACAAAGAGTAGGGAATGTAGCTCCCACTGTTGTGGTTTGGCTTTGTTTCTGAAACTAGAGGACTTGCAAAAACGTCCTTAACAAAAATTTGTTAACTGCTCAATATAGAATAGCCTCCCAAGATGAGAGTTAATATAGACTACTGATACTACTACTATGAAGGCCCAACTTTTCCTTCAGTGGGCGTCCTGTAGCTTAGTGGAAGAGCATAGTGGTATCTTAATATCGTCGTTTGATTCCTTGTGAGGCACTACTTCTTTTATGAGACAAAAAAAGCTCAAAATTTGTCACATAAGTTATTTATTGAAACCAGAGAGATCTTGTCTTACCATCTTTGTATAAGTTTGCCTGAAGGAGATTTTCCTCTGATTTCGATGTTGGTTTAGCAATAGGACTCCCTGACTTAATGGTCTCAAGCTAAAAAGAAAACAAGAATCAATTTGTGGACAATATTGCACCAGAGGTTCCTTGTAGCTCATCAATGTTAGGCCATTAGCTCGGTTATGAAGAATTCAATATCTAGCAAACTTAGTTCTGTTTTTTAAAAAAAAACCTTACCACTGCATCACTTGTGTGGGTTCTCTTCTTCTTCTTCTTTTTTCTTGTTTCTTGTAAACTTAATAATGTTTGTGAGTAATTTGACATGTTAATAAGTTGCTCATGAAGACAATATCTTGCTATCTATTTTTATTTTCATCGGTAGAATAGGAATAAACTATAGCACCCTTACTACTGGTTTTCACTCTAACACACAGCTTCCAGTAAACTGTTCACTGGTAAAAACATTTTGATTTGCTACAGTCTTATAGTAAGTACATCATTGGCTATTTATTAAACAGCTATAAGGCTCTCTATTCTTAAGTATGCTCTGTTACGAGAGAATAATATAAAGTAATTTTGTTGCAAATATCATTGAAGACAGAAGAGGTGCATTAGTTGGGTTGACATGCCTTATCCAGAAAACTGGCAAAGTACAACATGTCATAACAAGGCCTGCCAGTAAGTATGATTTTCAATCTTCACATTTTTCCTAAAATATCAAATTTTTGATAAAGAATACTTGAATACAGATCTTAGGTGTGCATGTCTACATGACCCTTTCATCCCTAGGAGTGACCAGCATCTAATTTCTCCTAACAGTAACACTACTGAATCATTCAATAACATCATGAGAATAAAGGAAATGATCACCAACCTAAGAAGCTCTGATTGTTAAACAAATTTCCCTTGTCAGTACCAAAGGAAATGTAAAGAGAACAGTATGGAGAATATGGAGACTGATGTCAGGGCATAAAGTGTTAATAGGGGTGTCAACCAAAGACAACTTGATCAGAATTTAACTTAGTGTCTTCTTAATACAAGATGTCAGCCTAAAATGGGGTTCATTTATGTAGTATACTTAGGTCCAGGCCCTCATGCGATGGGACAAAGTTAGGCATGCACAGTGTATTAAAAAACCCAAGCACATGGTAGACATGTTTTGAACCTGGTTGTTTGATTATTTTGAGTCTCCAATATTATAATTGATATCAAACATATAGAAACTTCACACCTGTCTTCAGCTACTGCATCTTGAAGAAATGATTCAAATCTGGCCTGTGTCTGTTGGCGAGCTTTCAACACCCTAGAGCTCTCCTGAGTTATTACTGATTAGAAATGAAATAGATTTAATAAATACAAAATTCCTCCCAAATTTAGAAATAGAATCCCACCCACCCCCACCTGCACAATGAGTCTGTTAAGTTACTAATAAAAGATGAAGTCATAAAAATGCAGCATGGACAAAAACCTGACATACAAGCACAAATCTATTGGTGTTTATCATGAGCAGAGAGGTACAATGTTCATATAACTGGAGGTATATCTCAATTTTGAAAATTTTGGAAAACTCCCATCTCCCAAAATAGTTTGCATTTAAGTAAAAACAATTTTTGTGCCATACACCTCTGAACTTGCAGTCATAAATCATGATAATAAAAAATTATTTTAAACTTGTAATTTCAAATTAAAAGCTACTTTTTTCAAATTTTGCATAACTGTGTAACAGATAAAATTATCTTTTTCTTACAACTGGTATTTAATTTCCACATTAACTCTTTCATCCCTGAGAGTAACTCACATCTACCCATAATTTCTCCTTAAAGTATCACTGTTGAGTCACACATCAATGTCATGAGAATAAAGGAAATGATCAACATCTGGAGAGGCTCTTGAGTGTTCAAAAAATTCTCCTTGCCAGTTCCATAAGAAATGTATAGAACAGTAAGGAGATTATGTACAGTAATGTTCATATATATCATTGAACATGTATATCTAAAGATCACATGCAATGCACTTACGTTGATCTGTTGATCCACCAACCTCTCTCTAAAAACAAAACATATAAGGTTAAAATTATGATACAAGTTAGAAAGAAATGAGTATGTAAAAATAAATGAACTGGCTGCCTAAGAAAACCAAAGTGACACTTTTATCATTCAATAATAATTATTGGGAATGTATACATAGCATTTGATGTTCATGGCATGAGCATTAGAATGTAGTAGCACTGGACAATAGTGTAATATTCTCCAGGTCTGAATAAAAAAATAGCTCAGGGCATCAAAATTTAGACTAAGAATTCTGTTAACCAGCTGGAGAATTCTTCTACCTCCTAAACACATGTATTTATTGGCTAATATAATTCACAACAAGTTGGCACCTTAACTCATGCATGAAGAAAAAAATCAGAGCAAACCAGATGTTTTGAATTTATTGGTGCCCTACTGAACTGGAATATGTAAAATCAACACCTAGTAATATAATTTGCACTCTTTACAGATGCTTCCATTTGATTAAAACACAAATTTCGGAAAAAAAGAAAACTTCCACACAGAAAAGTACACACCAAGGCTTACAATGAGCTGGTCACAGTGCATACATGTATATATCTATTAAAAATATTTCTGACATTTGCATAGTTGTTATTTGCATTGTATGCCAATCCTTTCCATTCTATTCCTCTTAAGTTCATCTCTAAACGTTTATCGTTTTCCTATCTTGTTACACATCGTGTTGAATTTTCATTCTATTAAAAAAACCAGTCTTCGATTACAAACCTGTGACTCGAGATTGGACTTGGCTCTCCGATGTTTCTTTTTAGCTGATCTTGGTGCTTCATCTGTCATTTCAGAAACAGCCCAAATGTGAGGAGGATTGTCACAGTTACTCGTAGATGCTTACTGCATATGACATTTCATAAATGTGATTAATTGATTTGGCACCCTTAATACTTCAGTTCCCACCTAAATAAAAGAAGCTCATGATTAACTGTTACTCCAGTGTTCCATCCACTCTCTGTAATATCTTTAATTTTAATCAAGAAGAGTTGACTGGCAACATGACATTTAAGTAACAGTAAAAAAGGCTTACAGGTAAACACCCAAGAGTAACAATTTACAAGCTCACCTATACATTTTAGTTCTTTGCAAACATAGGTCAAAATGATCCTTAATTACAACCCTTCTGTGGTTTTCTTAAAATACCCTGCTCCCCTACCACTGCTCTATAATCTACATGCACTGTTCTTTTAAACAACCACCATTTGAATGGAAGAAGGGGGACCTGGAACAGGAGTGTTTTAAGATTTCTGACAAGGATTCTAGTTTTATTTGTACTTTCCATTGTTTAAGACAAATTATCATGATTCTTACACAAAGAAAAAAACAAATCAATCCAGATTGACGTCCTTTTGACCTGTCAATTTTAATCAACAACACTTACAAGTATAAACAGGTACTACATGTAAAGTTAAGGAGAGGGACTTCAAGAATGGCACAAGGCTAGCAAAGTATAGCTGTTAAGGTAAGCTAATATACCACAAGTCTTTCAAGATTAAGCTCGACACATTAAGCCCATCTTATAAATTGAAATGAATATCTCATGAAATATTTTGATACCTGTTGCCATGAAGTCCGCGTAATTTCAATGATAAAACGCACCAAGTCTCACTTTCGGCATAGTCTGCTTCCTTTCAGGTTTTCACACGCTGCACAGGGAACTTGAAAAGCGCAATATCAACTTCGCCGAGGTTTTGTAACAAAATTTCCGAAAATTAACTGTAGATCATCAGGATAAAAAACGCCAAATTATCTCATGCGCGATGGTTTCTGACTTAAGAGAGCCCGGAAAAGAGAATAACAAATTGCTATAAATTTTTCGTAGCAAAATCAAGGGAGAACTATCTGAAAGGAAGTAATAGTTCAAGTAACGATACTCGGCGCCATATTTGTTTCCAAACTATGCTTCCGTTACTCAAGACACTACATAAATTATTACATGACAACAAATATATTCAAACAACCATGCTGTTAGTGATTGCGGGCTCCGTCTCAAGTCTGTTTAACGCGGCGGACACTGGACACTAGACAAGAACGACTAAGGCCTGCGAATAAATTATGCATGCCTACAGAGACAGTCTGTAAAAATTTTCTTAAAAATCATGGAGCCGTGTATTATCATCCATGGCGGCTGTAGACCTATCCCTGAGGATTTCAAAGAACCTTACAAACAGGGTGTTCAACTTGCAGCTAGAAAAGGATATGCGGTGCTTCTTGAGGTGAATTTATGGAAAATTACTTAGCCATTTTATAATCAATAGACCTCGTAAACTGGTTTGTTTTGTCCACCCATTTCAGGTCTCAAGGGAATTTCTAGCTTTATCTCTGGCAAATTGTGCATACATATGCCTATAGATAAGAGCAAATTGAAAGAGGCAGTTCTTTAGAGTATTATCACATGACCTTAATTGTGTAACCAAAACATACTGTTTCTCACAAGTACATGCATAAGCGGAGTAAATGAAAGATATTGTAAGCGCAAGCAATATAAAATGTATTTCTTTTGCCAAGTATTACTACCTTTTTGATTTTTTAGTCTGATTGTTTGGGTGGGAGAAGCCCTGGCATGAGTAAAGGCTGACGCTTCAACAACCTTGGCGGAAGTCAACAATTGCGAATGAAATGAAGAGCGTTGTCGGGCGAGTGTTGTAAGTCAAGTGAAATTTTTTATCCAACAGGGTGGAAGTGCAGTAGATGCTGTTGAAGCCGCTGTCAGAAATATGGAAGACAACCCTCTTTTCAATGCTGGACGTGGATGTGCACTCACAGAGGAAAACACGGCCGAGCTTGATGCACTTATAATGGATGGACACAGTTTGGCAGCTGGTGAGACTGTAATGTTGAAGCTGATGCTGTTTTCATTCTGGGAGATGCACTGTGGCCCTGTGGCTTGTGCAGTGTACTAGTTAGGTTCATATTTATTCTATCCCTTGATAATTGCTCCTTGATTCTCGTAAACTTTCGAGATCAAGGTGTAATTGCGTGACTGTGCGTTACAGTTGGGCTTCGATTTTTCCCTTTGATCTTTAAGGTTTCTGTTTACACTTAGTTTTCTCAGTTTTCCTATCTCCGTGTCGTTAGTAGTAGTTCGTTCTTTGTCGTCGTCGATCAAATTTTTAGTTGTGCGTGCCATCGGCGTTGCGGAATCGATATGTAAGTTTTTGATATTATGTTTCTATTTTCGCATAGCTTGCCTCATTACCTTTATAGTCATTGTTTATTCATGTTTTGTGCAAGTAATTTTGTGATGTCGCGCCCTGGTGGTCGCGTGGAAATTTACTATGAAATTTAAGTGTTCTGTTATTGTAATTTCGGGGCAAGCTTATTAGGTACATTTTGGTATTTCCTTTATTATCACACGTTAATTGTGTGATAAGAATACATGAAAGTCATATATTTGTACTGGTAACTGGGAGCTGGTCAATTGTGAGTTCGTTATATACCCGTAGATGGAGAAGGTGTGATAAGAATACATGAAAGTCATATATTTGTACTGCGGAAAATACATTTTAAGCAAATGAAGATTTCCTTTATTATCACACGTTAATTGTGTCGCGTAGGCTTCTCTCAGTTATTTTCAGTTTTTAATCGCCACGCGCGTTCTTATACTAGTTTCTCTTAGTTTATTGATTTCAGTTTACGAGACAATATAGACAATTATAATTAAGATCAGCGGTTAAATTGGTTCGCCGTCTCCGTAACATATCCCTGTGTTTTTGGTACGTTATTACTTATCTGGTCGCGATTTTTCGTAGCACTCCTATTTCGCCTTGATTTTCGCTTAGCGTGACACAAGGCTGAGTTGAGTTTCAAGACGTGCAAGACCTTTTTGGATAATACGTTGTAAAAATTTGTTACGTAAAACTAAATTCTCAAATCAAAATTAAAAACTTGGGCCTCATAATGTAATTCAGGATTCTGGCAAGCTTTGAAAAAACAAAAACTAAGTTTTGACTCAGATGTTGTAAAAAGGTGGTAATAGACTGTCTGGAAACCTTGACAATTCAAATGAAAATTTCCAAGGAGTATTGGCTGTCCAGTCATTTCATTTCATAGAAGCTGAGATAAGTTGTGACAGTGAAGCACCAGTATGTTCATTAAACAAATGCTAATTTTCATGCATTCCAAATTAAATTTCAGGAGCAGTTGCTTGTGTTCAAGCCATAGCCAACCCTGTCTCTCTTGCACGACGTGTTATGGAGGATACTCCTCATTGCTTGCTAGCTGGGGAAGGAGCTTTAAAGTTTGCTAAGAAGATTGGATTTCCTGTTGTTGAGGATCCATTAGTGCTCATCACAGCTGAATCACATGAACGCTCAGTTGATGCAGCAAATTATGTGGGAACAGTTGAAGATTTTATTTCTGGGAATTCAAAACAAACAGATAGTACTGGAAGTTCACAGGGATTTGACACTGTAGGAGCAGTTGCATTAGATTCTCGGGGACAACTTGCATGTGCAACTTCAACAGGTGTGTTCTCAATCTCTGGTGGTATAGTGGACCCCAAGCAATAGATACAATCTGGGATGTTATTAGGTATACTTAACACATCAAACTGTATAGAATCATACCAATCACTTG